ATCTTCATAAAATACCTATATATTAAACATGCAAGTTGATATATACATATAATATATACATATAGTGGCATATATGCCTTGGATGTAACCAACAGCTTTCTAATTTGACTTAAGACCCGCTCAACAAAAAGAAAAATCATGTACCAGAAACCTAGACAGCTACTCAAGGCTAGTGAAGTCATGGGTCTTGAAGGAGAATGTAATACTGCCACTTACTTAAACTACAGAATCCTTAAATACATTCTAAATATTTCTTCTTATACCCACTGGTAACTGTGTCCTCATCCCTTATTAAGGAAGCTTCTCCTTGCAACATATATAGACCTTTACAGAAAACCACAAGAATCAAAATGCAAAGTGCAGTCCCAACTGATAAACCTACAGTACAACCCCTGAAACAAATGCTCAGTGATCACTGAGGAAGAGAGGGCAGAAAACTTATAAGAGCAAGAGGAACAGTGAATTTTCCTTGAGACTGTGTTTCCTAGAAATGCCAGAAGCTACACCCATAAGGCCTCATTCATCAACATGGCTGTTTAACCATGACTTAAACATGGATGACACCAAGAGCCATGTCAACGTGAGTGAGGGATGGAGACAAAGAACTAGAGGTAAATAAGGAACTGCAAAGAGTAAGAGAAAGACTCATCTCCAGGGAAGAGCACACCAATTAGTTACACAACACCAAATTGTCAGCCCTGAAAGCGTACCTAAAAACAGCTTTATTCAGACTGAGCAGGTTGTATTTATGTAAGTGTGAGTGTATGTATGTGTGTGATATATATTATTGAACACACATACACACATATAATTAAATAGAAGAGAGGTCATGAATTTGAAAGAGAGCAAGGGGAGGGGCCAAATGGGAGGTTTTGGAGGCAGAAAGGGGAATGATATAATTATATTATAATCTCAAAAGCAAATGCATATTTAAAAATTTTTAAAGAGTTCTTTATTATTCTCAAATTATGATTCCCAAATCTATGTGTTAAAACATTTGCTTGTCAAACAATGTGGGCTGTCATTCAATACTTCACCCAGTTTTCCTAATACCTTCAAGTAAGTTGTGGATTTTTAGGAAGGACTGATCTTTGCTTGACACAGACACCACTTGTTAAATGATCTATCTACTGAGCCAGGCTTCTACAAACAATTGCATAAGCTTCTACCAGATCCTCAACTCACTGTCACCAGATGACTGGCATTTATTTCAGAAAAATGATTTTGTCTTTATGTGACTGATGGGGAGCATTCATATTCCTATTTCATCAGATGCTGAAGTAACAACAAACATGAATGTTTTTCTTCTTCTTTAAAAACAATTCTTTCTCATACAGTGCTTTCCAGCAGTTCCCCTCTCTTTCAGATTCATCTCTCCCAGTTCCTCTCTCCCTCAGATCCACTCCTCCTTCATTTCCAGTTTCCCTTAGAAAAGGCAAGCTTCCCAGGGATATCAGCTGAACATGGCATAACAAGTTACAATAAGACTAGACACAAACCCTCACACCAGGGCGGGGCAAGGCAACCCATTAGATGAAAGGGGTATCAAGAGCAGGCAGAAGAGCAGTGAATGGTTTTAAAGACTGTACTGCTGAAGTCTTTCCAGAATGTCTATTTGATGTCTTCGTAATTGGCTGTTATAAAATGATTGATTAAAATATATGATTAAATCAAACCGTTCATCAGTTGAAAATTCTATTTTAGACTGCTTGCGTTTAATCCTGAGCCAGTCTATTAAATTTTAAATATCCTCTTTTCCCTTAGTTTCCTTATCTATGAAATGGAGCTGCTGAAAATCATAGAACTCTTAGGTTGTAGGCTTTGATTTTGCTTTATTTGGGGTTCCTGAATGCCTCTCCCTTCAATCCCTGACCCTAGGTAGGAGAAAAGGAAGGTTAGTAGGGACAGGGGATTTAGGCCTCTTTAGACTCAGTTTCCTGAGGCTTTTACTCTTTATTGTCAGGATTTCAGCAGTCCAGCCAAACAGCAAACAACAAGCAACAGTGGAATGAATCAGCGGCAGCCCCCTGAAGCATTCTTCAGAGCATTTCTCTCTAGAAGAGTCTTGAAACCCTTTCTCTCTCTCCTTCTGTCCATCTCTCTCTCTCTCTCTCTCAGCTCCTATTTATACCCTCCCACAGTCTGTACAAGGATGCTTTTCAGCTGGCAAAACCCATAACCCCTGCACAAGGCAGTTTCCAACTGACAAAGATCACATGCCCTCTCCAGGCTGTTATCAGCTGTGGATAAACTAAAAGCATTCCTACATTCTACACGTGTGCTTACAACAAAAATCAAAACTTCTATTACACTTAGGCCTTAGAATAAATTAAAGGAATACCTGTTGTGATCACTGAATAAGTAGAAAATCAATATTGTTAATGGCTATGACAGTTGGGCTTTGGTGGGGGTTAAGGTGGGGACAATTTCAATAAAGACCATAAAAGGTTTTACCTTACGCATTTTTAACCCCAAGTCACCCCTTGGGGACACAGCTATTCTTTAGTACTTCCATCTGTCATTGGCCTGAGGAGCTCCACCATGCCTCCTTTGTCCCTGGTCCTCATCATGATAGCTCAAAACTTGTGGTTACTGCAGTTTCCGTAAGAAAACCACATGAAATGGAAGTTTCTGGTTTCTTCAGAAACTCAGTTGTGTCATGTGACTATGTTTTCTGTTTGGGTCCCAAGTGTGGGAAGTGTAAATGTTTTCCCCCTTCAGAAAACAGCCCCCGGAATGTTGGTCAGCTGAAAGCTATCTTGTTTGAGGGATGTGGATTGTATGATCTGTAAAACATCCTCCTGGACTCTAAAAAGGGGTGAATTGGGTTTGGCATAGAATCAGTTCTTTCTTTTTCAAGCAGTTACTCCTAATTTTGTAAGTTTTTTTTTTTTATAAGTCTTGGGCCTCACTCATACTATTCTCTTAGAATAGAAAACCAGATGTCCACTGAAGATCTAGCTCAGAGGTGGAACATTTCTCTGGTGTGTACACTGCCCTTGAACTGATGCCCAGTAGTAAAAACAAAACAACAAAAACAACAACAAAACATTTGTTAGGTAATATAGAATTGCCTTCTGTAGAGACTGACATCACATAAAGGAATCTGATAGATAACTGTGGCCTTTAAACCTTAGTTTTTGTTTGATTGAATGAAATAATTTGTGTGTACATGTACATATCACAGGACACACACACACACACACACACACACACATTTTTCTCTCCAGAGCTGAAGAAACAATGTTTTTTTTTTTTTTTTGTTTTGTTTTTTTTTTTTTTTTTAAAAAAATCTCAAATTTGTAGTTAGGTGACAAGCAATTTTATTTTGCAAAACAATCACTATACAGCAACAAATACATTTGCAAATTGATTGAAAAACATGAACTAACTACAACCAGCCATTGAAGAAATGCCTTTCTATGGTAACAGGCTCTAGAATTATCAGAAGAAAGACCCCCCCCCCCCCACAGATTTGTAGTGGTGTGTCAGAACCTTGGGATCCCAGCATACAGAGTACACTTTGTGTTGAAAAATATTTCTTTCCTTTTTGCTAAAGTTGAAGTGGACTTTCATGATTGGCATTTTTTGGGGGGTTGAAATAAATCTTTTTCCTACAGAGGACTCTTGCCTCATTCTACATGTTCAGGCTCAAAATTCTAGGTATAAAAACCACAAACACCAGTGCTGATTTTAGCATATCCGTCTTTGAAGAAATGCCTGAAATTTGCCTCTCCAACCGATTAATCTACTTTTCTTCACTACTTCTACTACAAATCATCTCCTTTCCTGTGGCATGAAAAATAAGAGGAAGCCTATAAATGCAGCTACAGCAGAAGCATGCATGTTTAGATTATTCCTTTACTACTACTGACATGATGCTCCATTCGGCTGCTGACCTCCCTTCTACGCCACTTCTGTGTGTGTGTGTGTGTGTGTGTGTGTGTGTGTGTGTGTGTGTGTGTGGAGAAGGCCAACCGTGGTCTGTTTCCTGGACCTCTTCCTTCAGCTACCTTCAGCCAAACTGAGCTGGAATTGCACAGGCATCTTTCCTATGGGTTGGGATTTCAGCCCCTCATCCTGCTGGAACTCAGCAGGCGGATCCAGAGAGAGTTAGTTCCTAAATGAACACGGCCTTTGAAACTCATCGTAAGCTCGGATCCTTCCTGCATTGTTGCAAGGTACCCAATTTTCAGGCGCAGGAGACCCAGAGTGCATGAGTTCACTGGAAAAGTTGGCCTTCAAACTCTTCAGAGCTCTGGATACTTACGTATTCTTAAACAGGTTCTCAAAGGCTGGGGCCCGAGAGAAACTGGCATTAGTGGATCTAGAAATAGAACCGTGAAGCTTTCATTTCTAGATCAGCGTATGTGTATCCCCACAGAAGTGGTGTGCAAAAAGCTTAATTTGAGTCATTATCTTAAGAGAGTAGGTACGGTGGGATCCATCCCAGATTCCCATAAGAAAATGGTTGTAGCCTGTGCCTTTCTCTGTCTCTGACTGGTCCAAAAATTCAGGTCCTTCGTGTGGTGTCAACTTGATATAGAATCACATTTCCACATAAAACAGGGAGTTGTATTCATTATAATTTTCTTGACATTAGAAATAAATGATTATTTTAGTACCAGATCTATTAACATTGGGGCTTACATAATCTCATTTCATTTCCAACACACGTTCTAAGAAATTAAATTTTAACACTTAGAAAATGTTCTCTTACTCTTAATTTTTATAATAAACTAGGCTGGAATTATTTTCCTTATAGTTTAAGACCACACTAATTATCCATTCACTTCTTTCTTTCTAGATAACTTCAGTCCATATCTAGCACTATCAAAACATGTAAGAAACAACTGTTCTTCTCCACACACAATTATCTCTTTTCCCGTTCCTTGTGCATTTCGAGAGAAGGTAACGGATGAATTGAAAACAAACATTATTCAGCAGTTTTGAAATTATTCCAAAAAGAACCAATTTAGAAACAAGGACATGTTTTTGGAGTGTGTGTGTGTGTGTGTGTGTGTGTGTGTGTGTGTGTGTGTATGTGTGTGTGTGTTCAGCCTCTTATCTGAGAAGGCAGTCTCGGTTTGATGCAAAGTTTTCCATGTGGCTTTCCATTGGTCATAATGCTCCATGGGTCACTAAAACGCCACCTGTCTCTCTCCAGTTTTGCATCCCCTTGCCTTCTGTCTTGGATACTCCGACACCTCTCTGTCCTGTTCATATTCACCTTCTCCTTTATTTTCAGGGCTTGGTTTGTTTCACAGACATAAAAATAACCTAGCCAATTTCTCACATTTAACTCTTCAGAGTCAGTCTACCAATCCTGAGCAGGAAAAAGAACAAATAAAATATTAAGAAAAAAGTCCACCCGGTTTGATGATGCTTTGTTCTATTTTGGGCCATTGACTATTGCTTATTCATTAAGTATTATTTTTAAATTGAATTAATTGAATTGTGATGTCTAGACTGTATTTGAAACAAGAAGAATAATATTTACTGATAAATAAGTCATACCATGTTCCTGTACAGATGGCAATGTGGAATCCTGGAGCGATGAACTTAGGTATCTGTGTCTCAAAGTTTTTAATGTATGTAGCTTTTTAATATGTTGCCTTTTTTTGATCAAGGGGTCTTTGGGGTTTGGAAGCCAAATATCAGAGAACTTAATCAACAGATACTATTTGGAGAACAGGAGAACATATACAAAATCATATTCCTAGTTTCAACTTTAGCAAATGGAAACAAGAAGAAGAGCGGAAACAAATAATAAGGAATCGGTTTCATGAATGGTTATAGGAATAAAACTCCAGTTATTCTGTGGCTGAACATAAGCTCAATCCATGATCCTTGAACCAACAGTCTGTAAACCCTTCTAGGTATAACTGGACCCACTCCACAAACTCCATGTCGGTGAAAGCAAAGAAAAATAAAAATTTCTAGCATCACGGGAGAGACTTGATTCTGCCACTGAAACAGGGTTACAGCTTTAAAGTTGTTACAGAGAAGCAAACTTCATGCTAAAACTTTTCGTCTTTTTAAAATGTAGTTTTAAATAGGGAGAGAGAACCCTGCTAACATCTACTCACACATACCTAAAATCGCAACACCAAAGGGTGCAGGAGACACAGATACTGTGAATAAAGATGTATCATATTCAAGTATATGAGGAAGTATCACAAATGGCCACAGAGAAATATATATATATATATTTATATCTATAATACTGTATCAAACAGATGAAATGGGGGTGTGAAACTGATTGTGTGGACACAAATCTAGCCAATCAACTTACATTCTAATCAGACACAAGCCCATCCTGAAGTGCATCACTCTTGACAGATGCACTTTGACACGACTTCTTCAACCGCAGCTCAGATGCTTTATATCTAGCTTTTAGTTAAATAATTTATTGGAATGGTATACTCTGATATAATCATCCAGGTCCCAAATGTTAATAACTTAGTTACATCTTTCTTCCCATTTATACAAAATAACACTTTTAAAAAAATGTGTTTCTCACATGCTCTTTCCTTCCTGCAATCAGACTCCTTGATTTCATTTAACCTGTAGTAAGTGACAATGGGCAGTTTTTAATAGTTTCAACCATAAACAGAATAGTGAAATGAGCAGCTTGGATTTTTAACAAGGCCTTTCAGAATGTATTGGATAGCCTTCAGGCACATGAAAGGTAAAAATGCAATTTTTAAAAATTATAATAATAATAATAATACTCCATGCAAAACAGAGCAGAGCGAAAATAATTGTCCAATTGTATCCATGTAAAGCCATGTGTTTCTGTTGCGGATGGAAATCAGGTCATTTTCTGCATATACTATTCATTTTTTAATATAAAATTGTAACAATTACTACAGTTTGGGGGATGAGATTATTTATCTATGGTTTGTAGAGAATGAATGTGACACCTGCTCAGAGCCCACTCCTGCCAAGAGCTCATGCCTAAATATTACTCCAGTGCTAAAGGAGAAGTATTCACAAGCCCTGCTTAGCAAGCGCAGCAGTGACGTCCTCAGCCAAAGTGGCAAGCTGAGGGGATTCGAGCAGGTTGATGCTCCCAGAAGAGGAGACATTACTGAGCCGTCGGGGGGATGCCACGCTTGACCTGCTTGGGGACTGTGTGATGATCTCAGCCCCATGGTCTACGCGGGCCTTTGCATGCTCTCTGAAGTTCAACTTTTGGCTGTCAATCTGTGAAGGAGAAACAGTAGTCCTCATTAACGCAAGCATCATCCCCTGTCACCAGCTCTTTCCCTGTATCCCCCAGCTGTTAAGAATAGGATGTCTATTCAGGTCAGCACCCCTCCTTCCTGTTTGAGAAGTCCTTTAGCCAGAGATCCATTTTGATCAAGCTATTTCAGAACATTATGCTGGGTTACTAATGTGGTAGTTGTGGGTTCTCCTGTTTAGGAACATATATGCACATAAACATACATATATGTATGAAACAACAGCTAATTAAAAAATAGCCACGAATTTGAAAAAGAAAGAAGGTTTCAGAGAGAGGAAAGGGAAGGAGGAAATTATATAATTATACCATAGCCTCGAAAATTTAAAAAGAATATTTCATAAAAAAATATGCTTGCACAAGCATGTGACTGGCTCATGGCCTCATCTCTTACCTTCACATTACCACCTCCAGGTACATGGTGAGCATTGTCAAGTGAACCAACTTTAGCTTGGGCCTTTTCCTTGAAATCCAGTTTTACACTCTCAATTTTCACACGGCCACCACCTTCAAGAGGAGAGAGCCTTGTAAGTGCCTTCCTGAAATGAAGTCTTGTATCTATAAAACACTACCTTCACCAAAGGATGGACCATATAGAATGCCAGAGATGTTTACGTTCTTCTATCCTAACCCGTACATGAGAGGAACCTGTTAGCATTTTCAGTCCGCACCATTTCTCCTTACCATCCAACATCATGACATCCTGCCTATACATACCACTGTACCAGATTGCCTCATATATTACTTCCTTATCAATGCCTGCCTTAGAATCCAGAGAGGTTTTCTTGTTATGATAAAACCTTGAACACAACAATGAAAATACCATATTGCATCCTTTCTAAAATTTCAGAGGTTAATCTATTATTTTTTTATTGGAACAAATGAAATGGAAATGAAACTGTTCTTTATCAGTCTTCACGATGACAAGCCCCTCATCTCGAAACGTTTTAGGGTGGGTTGGTGCATGTCCTGGACAGCTTCAGCTGTTAACCTGACATACCTAAAGTTATCTGAGGGAACCTTAATGGAAGGCTTGTCCAGGTCAGACTGGCCTGTGGCAGCTGTCTGTTAGAGATTGTCTTGTTTGCTGATTGATGTGGGACGGCCCAGCCTACTGTGGGTGGAACCTTCCCTAAGCAAGTGTGCCTGGGCTGTAGGAAAGCTCGATGTATATGAGCAAGTAAAGGAACTAGATAACAACCGGGGAAGCAGCCATTTTATGTAAGAGACCGGAAGACTGGGTATCCACATGAAGTCTTGGAACCAATCCTCTGTAAACAGTGAGTGAGAATACTGCTTTCCCGTGTAAATTTTCAGCATCAACAATATGGCTGACAAAATGTGTCAGGAGTTGGGTCCTCTACTGCTTCCCCTTCAATACAGAATGCTAGACTATGACTTTGTAGGTTCCTATACAGGCGCTCATCTGACCTCGCCACGGGATTTCTATCATGCCATTTCCTACAACGCTGACAGTCTCAAGTGTGAGAACCTGCTGATGGTTATGACATCACAACAACCCTTAAGGGGTCTTTTCTCCATCCCTGTGTGCCTTTCTCAGACTTCCAAACACAGGGGTTTCTTCTACAATAGTAAGTGGTAGCTATTCAGTTTCTCTCAGCCTGTTCTCAAGCATGGCTGAGTGTTTGCTGATATTGTTGACTTAGAAAGGTAGACTAGAATCTTTTCCTTAAATATATATAACTGCACCTAAGAGATTTGTTTTACTTTCGTAGGGTGCTTCATTTCAACCATGTGCATTTGTCTGGAAGGAGTGCATCTTGAACCTTTAATCTTATATTTCCATGGGGGTTTTGATTTGAAAAAAAAAAAATGGTTACAAGGATTTATAAAAACATGGAAAAAAACTTTTCAGTTTGGAGTTCTTGATGCTTAAGTATCTCTAGTATTTTGGGGGTCAGTTTTTCAGTTCCACATATTATCCAGCTGAGTGTCCCACATTTGGGAAAATCGCAAGGGTCAGCATGTCCCAAGTGCGCTGGAGGAGGCTCACCTTGAGAAAACTTTCCTGATTGTAGTATCCTATCTGACAGATATGGAGAAAGAGGTCTCATGAAGATTTAATCTCGTGTCTTTTAACCTTGTGGCATCTCCACTGTGCTAAATCTAGACATAAATGTTAAGACCAAACTACAGATGTCTTGAAATTGGGAGGGACTGAAATACTTCTTCAAAAGCACTCATTTTTACCTTATACATCCTAATGTGAACTACCATGTAAGGAGATACCTCTAAGTATGTGTCCTTTCATGGGGTTGTTCTTATGCTTTTTTCTAGGCTGTGGGCCTCACGTGTTGGTTGTGATGGGATTAGCTTCATTCTTAGCGATTCATGTAAATGTAGTTGTCTTGGTTAGGAGCTGGAGGATGTTGAGGCTCTCAACTAAGGACTATTGCTTCAGAATCTTATTTTTTGTTTTTTTGGTAATCTTTGGAGGAAATTGCTCTCTTAAGATTCCTTTCTTTGTATGCTGTGTCAACATAGTTCAGTTAAAATGCTACTGAACTTTTTCTTAAAAGGAAAGGAAAATGATATATAGACACAAACAACACCCAACAAAGGATGCTTGCACAGGCTAGCTTTGTTGGTGTCCTGCTAGACAATTTTATATGTAACATTTAGACAAGCCCATTTGTATTTACAGATATATGCCTCTGGCTTTAAAACACTTTGGCATTCACCGTGAGCAGTAATTATGAAAAACTATAATCTTCATCAGGCCTTAAACTGAAATGTAGGTATTTTGATTTGTGCCTTCAGGTGTTGAGCTGTTTTCTTTGCTTTTGGTGTGGAGAATGCACTTTCTCACAGCAGCTTTGTGAAAAGATTGCTGTTGTCAAGGATCACCACACTGACATGTTCTTTATGAATTTAGTCATCCTCTGATTATAATAGAGGAACCAGATTTAGAAATAAGTGGGAGTCTGTGACAATAGTCTTTTATGTCCAGTAATTCATACACAGAATAGTTCTTTATCTCTGTGATGGTTTCTGAGTATCCAAACTCCAGGTGAATTTGACTAATTCCATCTGTCCCGAATCAAAGAAACCAACATTTTCTTTTGTATTCAGCAAGAAAATTGGCAATGTGGAAAAAATACCTCAGTTAAGTTACAAATTGTACAGTACAAGTCAATTGTGCAGTGGTAAACCACCTATGGACGGGTGACTTTGAAGATCTAAGCTAAAAGACATGCTCCTGTGGCTCATGAGCAGAGAAGACAGACCCACTGGAGCAGCTTTGCACACAGCAATGCAGATTCCACATACAAAGATCCAATCTCCTTGCTTTGTCATTAACATCCTTTGGCACAGTGAAGACTTATTTCTAACTATTTCCAATGTGATGGTTCACGTTGAGACTTGTTCTGCCCATCTTTGTATCCAATCAAAAGTCTTAATCAATTCCTGTCCCAAAGTCTCAACTCAGTTGTTGCTATATCTCATTTTTGATGATATTCGAGATGGTAATTAATCTACTAATCTACATTTGGTTTATATGTTAAGATGACAAACATATGACTAGATTATTTAAAATAAAGCCAATTATGTTGCCATTTTGTAGTCCAATGGTATCCTATAAGTTGTAGAGTGTCAAATTATCTTCAAAAACGTAAGACATTTGACAGTTTTCTATTATCATATATGTCTGGAGGTGGAATTTAGCACAAATAAATTATTTGTGATCCTCAGAGCAATGATGACTTACCTCATACTTAAGCTTTTGAAATGAGGAGGCCACCACACAGGTGGAAATTGTAATTTCTACCTCATAGTACTACCCTGTGAGATACCCTAAAAGGACAAGAAGGTGCCAAGTGTGTTGGGATGCATTGCAAACTCCTGAGGATTCCCAGTGCTTAATTACTCAAGAAAGGGTTGCAGGACTGAGTTAGATAAATGACTTTCTTCTGCTGTGATTTCAATCCTATTTCATCTAATGTAGAAAACCTAATTTTAGGAAAAATATTTGGAAATCCTGTCTTTGGTCACTGTTCCCATCTGTAAGGCTTGATGTATACAGTAGTCCGCATGTTCTGAAAGAACCCCAGTGTCCATGCCTGTTTTAGACACATGGTCTCTTCCAGGTAATTACGTTCACTGATGCTTTGATAGTTTGAACTTAAGTTTTTATTAATAAAAGTATGAAGTACCAAGAGTTTGAAACATTTTTTTCACTCAGGTTTTTCACAAAAACTATCAAGAATATTTTTGCCTGTCTACTTCTTCAAGTCCAATTAAGTATTCTTAAATTATTGCAAATATCTTATTTTTTTTTTACCTGGCCTGTGACGGATATTCTTTAGAGAGCCACATTTGGATGTCACATGGCTTAAATCTATCTTCTTTGTAACAATCTGTACCTGTGTGAATCACAGAAAACGAGCTTAAGATATTTTAGACATGGAAGGCCCTCCCACCCCAAGCTTACATAAAAATCTGGACATGTACCTCACATTCAGAAATGTACACACACACACACACACACACACACACACACACACGGAACTTCCTGTCTGTTCCCCTATTTGAAACTGGAAAGAACCCGAATAAGTGAAAACCCTGGAATAGAAGTTTCATTAGTAGAAAACAGATAACACAGTAAGAGCACAGGAACATTTGTATTAATAAGGCAAGCATCCTTGGAGAAAAAAGCCCCACCGTGTTAAACTTCTCCATAGCAAAGAGCCAAGAGGAGGATGGATGGATGATTTCTTATAAAGCGGCTTTTATATGGAAGTCACTAACGCTGCTCACAGTAACAAGACCAGCACAAAGACAGAAGAAAATTCTAAGTGATCTTTCCTAAACTGCTCTCTTAGCTTAGCTAAGTGGAATTTTTCTTGCACGCTGAGCTAGAAAATGATACTGTCTTTTCTTGCTTTTATGTTTCATTAAAATGTTTCACCTGTCCATATCTAAAGCAGTATTCCATTGCCTATTGGAATGGTCCAGTGTCCATCAACACTGGAAGAATGTAAGAATAGAAGAATTCCTCAGGGAATGTGCTCAATAAAGCAAACGAGTCCTCTCTTAAGGAAAGCTTCAAGCTACTGTCTTGTGGGTTGGAAGCTCCTACTCTATGTTAGTATAAGATCATAAGTTATTCTTTACTGCTGTATTGGAAACAAAGGCATTTGCCATTTAGGACAGCAAGGTCCATTTTCTGCTACTCTCAAGGGAATGAGCTGGACCAGAACTTCTTCTGTGGAAGAGCATGTGATGTTAAACAACTGAGTCAGTGTGGATCCTGATCCCGAGGCACAGACCAGCATCCATGAAGGAGCCCAGAAAACACCCTGTGGGATTCCCATGGAGGAGTCCACTTTGCTCAATCTGCTTTGATTGTCGGGTGACATATTTTCTTTTTAGCACTTAAATCCATTTCTGCCCAGCGGAAGAGTGAGAAGGCAGAGGAATCTTAGACTATCGAAGATTCAGGCTCTGACATCCTGTCCATTACTTAAGTCACAGATGATCAGCGTCTCATGTTTAGATGGCGGAAAAATAGAGTCAGCTTGAGTCACATGTTGCAATTATCCTATTTTATAAGGAACCATGCTTTCTTTAGCTAGAATTTAATTGAATACTTCAATTTTGCCTCAACCAACATGTACCAGGTATGAATTCAGTATTCATCTCTTCTCATAAGATATTATTTACACTAAATGAAAGAGACAGGAAAAATCTCATAGGACAGAATGTATGCTAGAACCGTAGTCTTTTCACTTTGAATTATAGATGAGCTATGCTTTGGCAATTTTGTATTATTCCAAAAGCTATCCTGATTTTCATAATGAGCCGTGGAGGATGGACAGTATATTCTGAGCATTTTCATATATACTGGTCTTTGCCTCAAGAGTAATTTAAATAGTATTAGAAAAGTGTGAGCCTGGCTCACTTTTTCAGAGGAACAGAGACACCAGTAGAAGTACCTCGATGGCTGAAGAAGGCCAGAAAACCGTTAGCAGGTGAAGAGAGTTTGCCATGCTGCATCTAGCAAGCTTTCCTTTCTCAACTGATCTGACAGGAAAGAATGGGATGCCCATTACCAAGAAAGCAGGCGATCCTACTAGATGGCACCGGCGGAGCAGGTGATGTGCCACGAGGAACGTGAGGAAGGAAAGAAGGTGCTGGCTGTGCAGGAGGTGCCACACAATCAGGGCAGCTTCCTCAGAGGAGGCTTCTACTTACATTTCCGCCCCCAGCAGAATGTTTGATGTTATCCTTGGAACCACATCTTGACTGAACTTTGCTAAAATCGATCTTCTTGTTTAAAATCCTAACCTAAAAGGAATCGGAGGCAACGTTTTTTCTTTCCAGACACTGGGCAGAGGGAGCTAGAATGGGGAGTATTGCAGAGGCTCTCAACTCCCTTCCGCCCACGGCCATGTAGGAAAAGAAGCTACGCTACCGTGAACTATGAGACCCTATTTACCTGGACCCCCAGATTCTAAGAGCTTTCCAGTGTTAGGCGTCCTAGCTCTAGAGATACAGTCTGAAATGAAGAAGAATGAAAAGAATAAAGCTGGATCCTGGGTGACAGGGAGGCTGGCGTCCCAGCGGTGCTTGTTTACTCCAGCACACGGTAGGTTAGCCCAGGGTCTCCGGTACGCTAGCGCTCGCAGCCCCACAGTGACAGTCCCTTCTTGCCCGTTAGTTTACACTGCATTAGAGAAGCTCAGGGTTGGTCTGGCTGACAGTTCCAAGTCAGGATTCTCATTCATGAAAACATTCCCGGTTCCCCAGGAACATCAACAGGGAACCCCCGTGTCTGCTTTGGCAATGGCTGTGGCCTTTGAAGGCCTCCTTCTTGCAGCTGCTTCTGGGCAGCCATTAGCCATTAGTGGCCATGGGGAAGCACTCTTTCCAGTTGCCAAGGTAAGAAAACCAGAACCCATCAGTCAGCTGGCATATGTTAGGTCATCCAGATGTCAGCCAGGCTTTGCTGCAGCCTCAAGACTTCAGGCAAATGTTTTATTTCTTTATTCAAGAAGTCAAGCATTCATCCTGAAAACCACAGCAAATCAGGACCTGGGAAATATTACTGTGTTGTAACATACTTAAACTCTTATAATTTCTTTCATTTGTCTTTTGAACTTGGCATGTTTTGAAGGACAAACAAAATAAATATAGAAAGAAGGATTCCGTTTTGTTATTCTGATCGCTATCCTTTATTTGTTTGTTTTGGAAACTTCTCCCTCATAGATTAAAAAAAAATCACATTGTTGTATCTTTAAGGTACAGTTTATCCTCTATCCAAAACCTCAATAACTGTAGTTTAAATGTACAGTCTTCTTGAGAACATTAACAACGCTATGGGTGTTTGCAGAAAAGAATCTAAAATTCGAAAGGGCATAGAACCCTATTTTTAGCTGGGCAAGGTTTGAATTGTGCCTGTCTAACAGTGCCTGTCTAACATGAACAAGATAGCTTGTCCCTCGCAGAGAAATATCATTGGCAGCTCTCATCAGGAGCCCAAGGCAAGGACTTCTTGTCAACATTTAAATTCAGAAGACATGATGGCCAGGCTGCTCTCTAGGGCATAACAAATGTAAAAAGTGTGAGTTTAGTGCAGGTTGCACAGCTGCCAATAAATGTGCCACACTCTTAAAGGGTTTTACATAAGCTGTGGAGGTAGTTAATTTTAACACTGTGGAGACCACTGCATTTAAAACTTCAAATATAAGTTAGTTTCAGAAGGCAAATCATATTGATTTACTATGCCCAGTAATAACATTTTAAATAATTCTGGAAATGAAATGGAACTTATATAACCATTTTTACTAATCTGTGAGAATGAAATGTATTTCTGCTTTTATTTCACAAATTTCAATTTAAGCATTGAAGTCAAGTGACTCACTACTAAGTCATTAAAAGTCAAACATTGACTCTGATTCACTTACTGCAGGAATGGAAATCCAAGTTCAGTGGCATATATCTTTTTGACCCTAATGCTTAATTAACTATTTGGTATTTTTTATGATTTTCAAAACACATAATCTAAATAATGGCTAAATGTAAATGTTTAAAGGTGGTTCTATTCTCTCTGATTTTACTCAGACACTGGACATTGACTAGCATAGGTGACTTTTTATTCAGATAGAGGTCATATAACTATGAGGCTGTACTTAATAAGTAAAGGTTAATATATCATTAGAAATTTAATCCGAAGTTTGAAAATCTTACTAATTCTGTCTGTTCTTCTACCTTGTTTGAGAAGCACACAGTTAATTTTTGGATACTCTGGTGGGATTTTGGCACGGCGATTTAATTGTGACAACTTGTCACCATATTCTGTATATATGATAAACTGTTCCTTTAGAGGGACTAACATTTCCCCCACCAAAAATGGGTTTTTCTAGGAAAAGGCAGGAGAAGGGCAAATGTTAGTAGTTATGAGCCTGTAAAACAAAAGAAGATAAATCCCTGAAGGACCGTTTTAACAAAACTATACAAGCCTGAGTCATACATTGTGCTACCAACTTTAATTTCTTGTACGAGGAGAATTTCTTTATTTAGATACAGGGGAATTTATTTATTTATTTAGATACATATTGAGGCTTCTGCCTTTTATGTAAAGAACCATGTGTCAGCCTCATTGTTGAGATACAGTTAATATGAGTGTGTGCCAAAGTCAGGACTCTGTGCAGTCTCCCAACACCCCGGAGTCATGGAGCTTAGTTGCAAACCCATTGCCTTCTCCTGTCTGAGTCTGTTTCATAAGAAGACCCCCGTGAAAAGGAGGGGGACAGTGACCTCCAATTGGCCTCTCAGGAAAACGGGCATCTCGTTCGATGTTGACTATTTTTCAGCACAGCTTAGAGTGAAGCTCTCCTTTGATTACAAAAATCACCTGCCTGTCTCTGAGGGATTTCCCACCCCACAGCTACAATGGAATGGAAATTGTTGATCTGGTTGCTTGAAAGACCACCGAATGAAACAAAAGCAAGAATATGTGTCCTTCAGGTGTCCTGAAGATGGGAAGTTGGCCATGCTGATGATACCCCTCAATGATTTATGAATCTGAAAAGCTTATATTCTGATGAAAACAAGTTTTTTATTTAGAACCACGACTGTTAACTCAGAATTTAATTAGCCATGCCTATAAGGTCCTCAAAATTACTTATATCAATGTAAATAATGAATATTCTTAAGTAGTCATTTAAGTTGAAATAAATTTATATCAAATGTAGAATTACATAAGACTTTAATTACATAAGACATTGTGAGGAACTTGGAAAGTTTTGTCATTTGACACACTTCAAGACTTCAAAACAGTCTCCTAAAGGAATGTGGAAGGAACTCGTAAACACAGCAGTCATTGTAATTCTAGAAAATCAGCAGGTAATGAGTCCTTTCAAAGTCATACACTATAATTTCTTCATATTAATGTTTTCTATTAATGTACATTTTTAGAAAATACTAAGAACTAGAAGACCATGTCATTGAAATGAATTAACTTCTAAACAATCTGCTCAGCTCCCACTGCATACTGAGGGTTAGGCTGTTCTTGTCCTTATTTTAGCTGAATGAACAGCAAACAAAATGGGGCAGTACAGACTTCAGTCTTGTGAATTCAAAGCAATAATTTTCTCAGAGCTTTGAATAATTAATATTTACAAATACGGCTCTAATATTTTTGTTAACCTACAAAAAACCCTTTGAATTACAGTTTATCAATCTCTGTTGAATATAGACAGGCCCATTCATCTAAGGACCATCCATTTTGAGATAGCAATGGCTTTAATAAGCAAAAGGAGATGCATACAATCAGTGAATAAGTCTCTTCATTATAATGTAATGAACTTCAGCGAATAGTTCCCCCTTTTATACTAGGGTGACTGGCACTATTTTAACTTCATAAGTTATTTGATTTTTCATCTATTTGCCACTTACCTTAGCCTTAAATAATTAAATGAAAGTAAGGCAGGAGAGGAAGACATAAGAAGTCAAAGCAAAAACTGTCCAATCTGTCTAAATTTAGACACCATGTCTTGTTCTCTCTTGTCCTTCTGTCATAAACCAATGGTCAATCCTATTGTTTGATTTTTCATATGTGACTGAGAACAGTCTTATCTGCTCTCTTTGCCTCACTCTTTTTTCTTTATTATTATTTACAGTTTATTCACTTTGTATCCCAGCTGTAGCCCCTTCCCTCATCCCCTACTAATCTTGCCCTCCCTCCCCCTTCTCCTCCTCTGCCCCTCCCCCAGTCCACTGATAAGGGTGGTCCTCCTCCCCTTTCATCTGACCCTAGCCTATCAGGTCTCATCAGGACTGTCTGGATTTAGTAAGGGGGAGGTGATCAAAGAGAAGACAACTGAGTTCAGGCAAGAGATTACCCCTGCTCTCCTTTCTAGGGTACCCTCATGGACACTGAGCTGCCATGGGCTACATCTGTGCAGGGGTTCTAGGTTATCTCCATGCATGGTCCTTGGTTAGAGTATTAGTCTCAAAAAAGACCCCTGGGCCCAGATTTTTTGGTTCTGTTGCTTTCCTTGTGGAGCTCCAGTGCCTTCTAGGTCTTTCTATCTCCCCTTTCTTTCGTAAGAGTCCCTGCACTCTGCCCAAAAGTTTGGCTATGAGTCTCAGCCTCTGCTTCAATATCCTGCTGAGTAGAGTCTTTCAGAGGCCCTCTGTGGAGTGGAAGGTACCTGTCCTGTTCCCTGACTTCTCCCACTGCAATATCTATCCTGTTTGCCCTTCTGAATGAGGATTAAGCCTCTTCCCTAGGGTCTCCCCTTGTTGTTTAGCTTCTTTAGGACTATAGATTTTAGTGTGTTTATCCTATACTATGTGGGTGGCTAATATCCACTTATAAGTGGGTTTATACCATGTGTGTTCTGTTTCCTCTTCAGGTTGTATAAATCTTTCACCTTTTACTTTGCCTCACTCTTTTTTGGAGAATCCACTATCTTTGAATCAGTTAATCTGAGAATGGCACACTGAGGAAATGAATTCACAATCAACCAAATTCACAGGCACAGCCACAGCTTTGCTTTCTCTCTCCCTCTAATAACGTGTCACCTGAGAAAACAGGTTCTGTTGACTGGCCCTGTTAGTAATATGCAACCATTACAGGGGCACATAACTTGTTTTTGTTTACAGGGTCCCACTATGTAGCCCAGGCAGGCCTTGAACTTGAAATCTTCCTGTTGCTGCTTCCCTATTGCTGGAATGATACTGTGTGAAATACCATCCCCCCGAAGAGCATTTGTTTTTAAACTGACATCGATACAGGTGATGGAGAAAAATTAGAAATGTCTCAACACATTTAATCAAATGTATATCCATATAAATCCATATAAATCAGAGCCCTTATATAAAACCTGATTTACAGAAAAAGTAAAACAGAAGTTTTCATCAAGCTGCTTACATTTTATTAAGCTATGCATTTGTTTAATTGAATTTTTAAAAGGCAAATGTTAACTTAGAACTTAGATTAAACTGAGATAGAGGACCTGGCCGCGGATAGCTTCAATTTAAAATATTTTTTATTAAATTTTTATTTTTTTATATTACTTACAGTTTATTTACTTTGTATCCCAGCTGTTGCCCCCTCCTTCATTCCCTCTCAAAATTAAAATATTTAATAAGATAGTTGCAGTATACTTTGAGTTAAATGAGTCAAGTTCACTCTCTCCAGCAAATTCATGGTTTTGTTTTTTTTCCCCTTCTTGGTAGAATGAGCCTATGCTTGAGCTGAGAGGATTAAAGTATATTACTTTCTGCAAAACTCATCATATAGTCTATTAAATCACCTATTCCATCAGGCTCTGGCGTGTCTCATTAAATTGCATTGAGCTTCTTTGCTGACAGAAACCAGACTTTAACATAAGAGATAAGAAACACAGGTACAAAAGCTATGCACCCAGAAAGCAACAAATATTCTATTTGGCAACCAGTGACGAGGTTGCCAAATTTCTGCATGCCACCGTTACAAACCTAGTTTCTGCACAAAGTACAGGTTGGTCTGTCTTCTTTGATTATTCTGGATTGGTTGCTGCTTAATCAAAAGTTCAGAGATAATATATTTGTAACTGAAAGTAGCATGTCTGTGGTTTTGATTTTTTCCAATGGTGTGTATTTAGAGATGTTCAATCAGATAATACAAAAGCTTTTAACAAATCGGCCTGATAATTTCTATGACATCTTAACATGAAATATTTTCCATTTGTTCTATAAAGGAAAAGCAAAAACCTCTAGTCAAACTCTCCAGTGAACCTCCACACACAGGCTTCCTTTGTTCCTAGTATTTGAGAAGATGCAGTGTAAGGGGGTTCTTTAGGAGGAAAATGCCACAGTGTTGCGATGTAAATATAGTCTGTAAAGATAGTTCAGTTTATAAATTTAGTTAATTCATACCATCCACTACATATTAGAGAACAAGTATCTTCTCTCTGCTTCTCATCTTGGTGAAGAAGTACATCCTGTTTCTGCAACAAAAGTCCTACATCATTTCTCTCTTGTGGATTTTTTTCCCCCTAGTTGTCTGGGGCTGAGATAGGATGCTCTGCATCAGGCTAACACTGGCCCAGTGAAAGAAGATATTTAAAAATAACATCACGATTTTGAAGCTATTTTTGTTCTTGGTGTAATTTTTGGCTAATATGTCTTAACTAGCTCTTAAGCATTATCTCTGGGGATCTCGGACATCAAATAAAAAAAATAAGGCATTTCTATACCAACTGTATGAATTACCAACTTTAGAAGAGGCCAATCTGGAGTGGATCTGGGGACACAAACAAAAAGAGAAGAAAATGGACAACCTATTTTTTTTGTATTGACTTAATCTTAAAGAATCTTGCAAATCTATGGCTTAAACAACAATAGAAAGGGTAGGGTAACATTTAGGAACTCTAAAAGAAAAATCTTATCTTATACAAGTTCTATAATGATATCAATGTCCTTTTATCTTTTTTACATTTTTCTCTTCAGTCTCTATATGATGTTACAGAAATGACTTACATTTTTTGTGAATCAAGAGTCTCCCCCTTTCGGTGGATTAGGGGAAAGGGATGGGGAGGGGGAAGTGGGAGGGAGGGTTGGACTGGGAGGAGATGAGGGCGGGGATACAATAGAGATATAAAATGAATAAGTTGTAAAAAAAAAAAAAACTTAAAAAAAAAGAGATAGATAGATAATTTAAAAATCAGTGTACTCCGGGACACAAAGAAAGCTACATTTAGTGAAGGAGAACCTGGGGACAGGAGGGTTTTATAACAAGGGAACCTTGTTATTGCGGGCCTATAATCTCAGCATGTTACGAGCCGAGGCAGAAGTGTTAGTTAAAGGCCGTCTGGGCTTTGTAGCAAAACCTTGTCTCAAAACAGGTTCATTCGTTTTAGACACCATGCTTATAAAAAGCGATAGTAAAGAACTTTCCATTTAAGGGAAGGAGGAGTGGGGGAGGGGCAAGGGAGGAGAAGAGGGACGAGGGAGAGGCTACACCTGGGATGCAAAGTGAATAAATTGTAATAATAAAAATATGAAAAAAAGAACTTGCCATTTAAGCTTAATGATATATTAAACTGATTTTACTCAAGTCATTCTTCTAAATGATTAACAAATAATTATTAAGAACGCAACATGTGGCTATTTCTAAATGATCCAAAAGGTTTTCTTCTCTTATATGGGTAAAACTGATGAATATAAGAATAACGAGATGACTTTTATTCTTTTTTTTATTTGTAGGATTTGGGTTATATTTTTGGTTATATTAAAGGTTTTATACACCTCATTTTCGCAGCACCTTCCCATGAAAATGTATTTGTCTGTGACCACACTATTGCATCAGCTCTTAAAGGAATCCACCCCTCTCCCCCTCCCTGGCTCATAGGTTGATTTTTTTTTTTCTTAAGCCCTCAGGTTTCCTAGAACAGAATTATAATGTAAAACCCAATGAAAGCTGATGCTAAGGATGGAGCAGCAAAGAATTTTGGTACTGACGGTGGGCAGGAATGCTTGAAGGCTTCACACTTCAGCAAGAGCTTTCTCTGAAACCTCCTAAGATAGAATTTTCTTGGCAAGAAGAAAGGATATCAGAAATCAGAGGCAGAAATTATAGGAGACAAGCAGACGAGTGATAGAAAGAGCACTAAGATTCAGAGGACTCTGGGATCCAAAGGAACATTGTGTGTTTGTTCAGAGACAAAGGCAGACCCTGCATTTTGTTTTTCATTACAAGAATAATTTTATGAAGTTGAACCATCCAATAGTATGTTAATATTCTATGAGACATATTAAACAATGTTTATACCATTTTTTTTTTCCAAGAATGGTACAAGGGCAATCCTGGCCAAAACAGGATGAAGAGCCCTCTGCTTAGAAAGCAAATGAGCTCTAGACTTGCTGGCAGGAGGAAAGAGAGCTTTCCCACAACAATCCAGTTATTCTTCCATGCCACTGACTTCCATTTACTAGAGCTACATAGGGTTGTCTGTTAAGTATCAAGAAAAAAACAAAACAAAACAAAACAAAAAAAAAACACCTGCCCTTTGCAATACCTAGGCACTAACAGGCAGACAGCAATTTGACAAACCACATTGTGATTCTGAAATAAAGATAAGGAAATGGTAAAGCATAACATAAGACGCCATTGGTCATGAAGGAAGAAGTTAAAAATTGAAATCACTGAAGTGAATAATTAGGTGAGGACATGGTCTGAACCCAAAAGAGAAAATTCAAAACTGTATTTATCATGAGCTAACTTTAATAGATCCAAATCTACAATGCTGCAGAGACCCATCCAGAAGTCAACTAAAGGATCCTTGCATGTATGGCTAGGCCAAAACCAGTAACCATTAATGACCAGAAGGAAATGACGTATCAACTGATTTTCAATGTATTTCCTGAACTTGATTCTCCAGACAAGATCCAGACTCAGCAATGAGTGGCAGCCGGTGACCCTGTGACATCTCCCTTTCCTGGACACAGGATCATCAGATTCTAAGGCATGAAAAGCAACTTAACAGTGAATGGGACTGAGCTTCTGACATCATGTGTGTGCTCATGGAGCTCTTACCTGGCCCCCCTTAGGCTGGTATTTGATGTTGTCAGTTGAGCCGATTTTGGATTTGACATTCTTCAGGTCTGGCAGGGGCTGGTTAATAAGCCGAAGCTGCTTGGGAGTGGCTGGGGACTTTGGAGGAGTGCGGATGATTGCAACCTTCTTCTCACTGGGCACCAAGATAGCAGATTTGGGGGTTCCTGGTGTTCTGGGGTAACTGGGAGTTCCAGGGGTGCCTGGGGTGCGTGAAGAGTAGCTTGGGGGAGTGCCAGGGGTGATTGCGGTGGATCCAGGGGTGGTAGGTGTTGAGGTGCCACTTTTTCCAGCTCTGCGAATTGGCTCTGACCCTATGTTAACAATCAGGCAAGACACACATGCGCGCGTGTGCGCACGCACACACACACACACACACACACACACACACACACACACAGAAAAAGGAAAAAGAAAACCACATCAGAGCATTAGAAAATTCTCTTCAAGATACAAAGTCAGTCCTCATACAGTACTTAATTCAAATGCATTCTGAGCATTTTATGAAAGACCATAGTAATACTCAAAGAGGTGAGAACCCCCTTTCCTTTCATCAAGTTCATAAGCTGGTGGTATTTTTTGATATACGTTAATATACAAATTTAGAGCTTGTACTTTTTATTTTTCTATTTAGTCTCACAGTTTTTATCGGGAATTCGTGGGAAGTATTCTTCCATTTGTGTGGTTCGTGAGGCATATGGATGACCAGAGGCAGGAAGCAGCCTACATTTACCATGTTCTGTGGACTGCTTGTGGGAGGACTCCTGAATGGCACATGGATCATCCAATTCTCTCTGCAAGTACATCCATTCTGAGACTCAGACATACACACGACACAGCAGAACTGTGTATTTACTTCCCATAGTTTTAGCCTGGGGGAGGGGTTAAATGTTAACCTCCCCAGTTTGTATTGAGAGCTCAGAAAGTTCCAAACTAACACATTTAATAAGATGGTTTTATTGTACCTTGAGCTAAGTGAACCAAGCGCCCATCTTTATCACATCCAGGATCACACAGGTTCCATTCTCCCAGCAATCATGAGATTCCTGCACAGTGCTGTTTCCTTCAAATCTTTTCAAAGGCTGTGTAAATGCCAGGACATTCCCGTGTGTAGTTAAGGAGACAGCAGGCAAATAAAGGAGGGTGAAACGATTGCCCTTCTAGTTGTCTATGTATGTTTTTGCTATTGCTGTGCACAGCTAAAATAGACTCAATATTTGTAGATGTCCACATGTCAGTTATACTTGCTATCAAATGACACAATGCGACAGACTTGTGAACAATGTGAAGTTAGAAAATCATAGCAGGATTGGCTCAGAACATTATACGAAGCAGTTTAAATACAGACAACCTCTTAAAGGGCAGGACAGGGTGGCTCAAAGAGGTGGGTTTATGTGGAAAGTGCCGTTTTGTTTCTATAGCAACAGATACAGGCATAACTGAAGCTGTTCTTTTGGAGAACATCTTTGCCTCACCCTCCTCTTGTGTATGTATGTGTGTGTCCAATTCCAACCCTAGATATTTGGAGAGAATGTCGCGTCCCTAGAGATTCCAACTCTTACATATCCTCTCTGCTTGTTTATTTCAACAATTTATTTTTGCTATGGAAAAAGAGTTTTGAAGTTTTCAAAGTGTTTCTATCACAGACTTCAAAGGATGCAGATATTTCCTAAAACTAAATGACGTTGGGCATAAGTCTTTAAAAGACGAGAATATTTTCACTGTAGACAAAATAGCTAAGTATCATGTTACACCTCAATAGGACAATTATTATTACCATTTTCTGAAAGCAAATGTTGAATTAACATCAGCTCCAATATGACAGTAGTGGCAGTTTCCATCATTATATACAAGTTTTTAAATTACCGAGGTCTGGTTCTCCACGTACTTTTATAGAGCATACTGTTTCTTCCAAATCAGTACTGAGCTGTTAAGAACTGTGAAGTTAGCAGTGGACTGAAGACCAAATCCAGGTGCCTGTGTAGCATTCAATACGGTTCTCCTGTCTGTTAGGTTAGTTTCTTGTCACCGAATCGAAGCTGCTAACATATCACCATCAGAACTGTTAACTCAGTCAAGTAGAAAGCACACCTTAAATGTTTTGTGTCTAATACATGCTAAAAGTGGTACCTATTTTCACTGAATGGATAATAATCGGATACAGGATTGATAAGACGGCCGGCCCCCGGCAACAGTGTAAACTACGGTGTAAAGACTGAAACATTACACACACCACACAGCTTGCTATCACTGTGGATCAGTCCACCGTGGGCCGAAGGAATCAAAAACGTTGGATAGGACACATTATGTTAAAGGTCATTTGGCACACATTTTTTTTTTTTTTCCTGAGAAACTGAGGAGAACTTTCATTTTTCTCTCTGTGTCTGTTTATGAGTAGGTTATGTGTGTAGAAATTTGGGGTTGACATCAGGTGTCTTACCGTTCTCTGTGTTATATTTTGACTCAGGGCCTCTTGCTGAACTTGAGGCTCATAGGCTTGGCTGAGCTTTCTGGCCGCTGGAGAAAGGGACTCTTCTGCCCCACTCAGGCCTGGGGTTATAGATGCCCAGCACTGCGCCCAGTTTACACCAGTGCTAGAAAGTTCAATGCAGGTTCTCCTGCTTTTGTAGAAGTACTTTACCTATTGACTATCCCTCTAGCCTTGAGTTTTTGGTTATTTTCATTGATTTTTTTTTCCATTTAGATTTTAAGATGTTGAATTCTAATAAGAGTTAACCTTGTTTAGATATCTATAGCAACTCGATGGGTGTTTTTTTCTATTAATTTCTTTTCAGAGACTTGAAGTTTTTTTCAAACAAGACTTTCACTTGCTTGGTTAGAGTTATAACCAAAGTACTTTATGTTATTTGTGGCTATTGTGAAGGGTATTGTTTCCTATTTTCTTTTTAGAATTCTTCTGTTTTAACTTTGAAACAAGAGAGAAACATCTTTCTAAAAATGACTATCTCCAACTCAGTAGATATGAATACAATCTATTCCCATTTCTTCCATCAAAGAATTGTTTTGGAACAATCTACCACGTAGACTTTTTAATTCTTACCTATGACAATAATGTCTTTTAAGTACAAGCACATTGTACTTAAGCATTTCTTTTTCATTTACGGGATTAGACAATGATCAAAGCAAAGGCATCTAGGATAACGTACTTGTGGTCCGTCGTGCTGAAGAGATGGAGCTGTTCAGAGAGAATGAGTTCTCCTCCCTGTCTCCTGACACACCCCTGCGAGGAGGGAGGATGGAGGAAGGTCTCGGGAGGGAAGATCGCTTTTCCGGGCTCTTGGTTATTCCATCCTGATTAGGAAAAACAAAGACATTAGGTTCATCCTAACTACACAACAGCGTTTCTGGTAAATTCTCTTTCAATACACCACCAAGGTTAATATGCTAATACAACTTTCTATTTCATTATGTAGAGTTTATAGTTTCCAGGTGTCCTATCAGACTGAGTTTATTATCTTGGAATCACATTTTTGAAAATGAATTGTGAATTTTAATTTTTAGACAAGAATGTAGATGGAATGAATTTATAAAAGTGTTCTTCAGACATTGCTAATCTGACGAAAAGCTTCATTAGCATGACTGTTTATTAGTAGAATGGACTAGACGAAGAGCTTTCTAGTATAACATTCCACTCATGAACACAACTACCTGTTCCCTAGATATGTAACTATACCATATCGTTATAATTTCATTATTACTGCCACATATTATGCACATTCCCAGGACTCTTTGACAAAGTAGAATCCTACCCATGAAAGAAAACAAAAAAGTACCCAATAAATGAAACTATAAAGTAGAAGAAAAATACAAAATACACAAACACGTAAGAACCTAGATGCTTGCTTTTAGTAAAACCTTCGTCACGCAGCTATAAACAGTGACAGATGAATATGTGAGAAAAGGGGATGCTTACTGAGTAGCATTTTCTTTTTCAAATGGAATTTAGTCAAGCTGTATGTAAACGCAAGAACAGTGCTAAGCATTTGAGCCAGTATGTGTCTGATCTAAAACAGACATCATGCTATTTACCTTTTTACTTTCAAATGCTCTGTTTATGCTTCACACACAGCAGGCAAACAATTAATAATTGTGAAGTGGTGATGAGGCAGTGGAAGTAGCTGGAAGAATGGGAGAATGAAGAGTATTGCTTAGGCTCAGACACTGGAAGCCCAAAGCATGTGCACTGTCACGTGCTCAAAAGATGACATGACATGGGAGCCAGGAATTTTAGAACTTGACCAAATGAGATGAAAGACAGGACTCAGAGTGGAAACACTGTAACCAACCCCGTAAAATGGTGATGTGTAAAACAATTATTATTATTTTATTTTTATTTTTTAGGAAGAAGCAGATTGGCGTCAAAAATCTCTCATGGCTGAAGGTCATACTAGACGTTGGTTCTGAAGTGTGGATTCACAAAGGAGGCATGGGCAATCCCTGAAAAGACATGATAGGCTGTTCTCTTCTGAATAGTTGTTCAGGAAAAGGAAACATTTCGAGGTGTTCCTGTCTCTCTAAATAGATGGGCTATTCTGAGTAGTCAGCTATACAAGGTTTGTGACAGCAACTCCCATTGCACATGCTATGCGCCTGGATATACATACATAATGCACATTATTTTCAGTGAACTCACTTTGAAAGGAAGTTAGTTATTTCTTTTTCAGTGGCTTTGTGAAGGCAGGGGAAATATGCTCTCTGAAGTGTTCTTTATCTGGAGGTGAAGAAAATTGGCACAATGGCCAATCATGGGAAATTACAAACTGCTAATATTTTTTTGTGTGTGTGTGAGCAAAATCACCCCAGTTACAGGGATTTCAATACGAGTCCCTAAATTCACAAATTCCACATTTCAATTAAAAAACTGATCAGAAAATCAGCCTAAAGATAAGAATAATATAATGGCAATAAGCAAATCTTATTATGAGCTAGAATAAGAGACAATGGCAAACGGTAAATTCTGGATTGCCTTAAGGTTTCATATAAGGTTCTTATTTAACAAGAACAGATAAAATATTCTTTACGGATTTAATGTATGAGGTCCCCACACAGTCTGCAGATTCTCCGGTTATGCTGCAGTTAGAGCGTGTCACTCATAGGAATTGCTCCTCTAATAAGTGTAGCCTTTATGAAGGTCCTACTAGCCAAATCTTGATCAAGTTTTTAAAAAATCTTGGAAGAATGCATATTTAAGGCACAGTCACAGTAAATATTACCTTAAAGATGAAGAAAAAATTATTTTTTAGATCATCTGCATGAACCCAACGAGAAAGATGATAAGAATCATTGGATAAGACCATTTTAGGAGCAAAACCGAAACCGTCCAAACTATTCTATTGACTTAATATGATTCTCATGGGTATACAACAGTCCTATGATCAGCACTGAAGAGATTACCAACAAAAGATCCACAGGATTTAATTTACAAGTAAGGCTAAATCCTGGGGAGGCTGCATGCAGGGAAAAGTGGGTTGGATTGGTAACTCTGATAGAGGCAACGATGCCTGGGAGATACTGTTAGAAATACGGGCAGGAATGACGAAACCAAGAAAGATTAACTCAACAATTAATTTGACTGAGCTGTTATAAAAATAGAGGATGAAACTGAGGGTTTCATTCTAAGCTCTAACTCCACAGACCCTTCTGCTCTCCTTCCTCTGCAGGACCAGCACTTTGAGTGGGAAGTGTAATTGCATGAGCACAAATCATCATTTCTTGACTGATCTTACCAGAAAAGAATGAATTTCAAAACCAGGAAAGAAGAATGCAATAACTAGATTGCCTCTAATTGAAAAATGAGACAGGCAGTGATATTAAATATACTACTACCCCAAATCTAAATGAAGTAAAAGGGTTTGGTGAGTTTAATAATGAAGAGCAGCTGAAAATTCTGGGTTGGATTCAAGTTATTAGAACTACACCAAATGTGAAGGAATTCGAGGTTTTTAACAAAATACATTAGGTATTAGGAGGAAACAAATGATAAAACAAAAGTAGAAACAATAGAGTAAACTTTTCTTTAGAAACATGAGCTAAATGGTATTTAAAAGGGAAAACATTTACTTTATGGAAATAATGCATATAGCATCTGTTTAAAGTTAATTATTAAATGCCAAACAAATGAGTTACTTGGTCCTGAGGCAACTTCAAAATTTTCTAAAGTTTTTCCAAATAATGTCCACTTGAAACTTTTTCTAAAGAGGAACTTTTCAGAGTCATTTTCTGTATCTGTGACTGAATTATTTTGTATTTTAAAAATAATATAATATCAACTAATAATTAGTCTTCTTTAATGAATATTCAATGACTACTATATGTAGGTACTATATTATTTTATAAAATTACTATGTTTAATTTTCTTAACTAAATAATTATACAGGAAATTTTAGAAAATTAAGATATAGGAATAAAAGATCACATAACTAAAAATATTTAAGATTCAGACATGATAAAAATACTAGTTTTTTTAAAGTCAGAAATAGACACTAGTGATCCAAATATCACTATCATATTGTCATCAAAATACAGCCTCATATTAACTAAGTCAATAAATAAGTTATATTACTTGCCATTTATTAAGGCATGTGTCTAATTTGTAAGTACTCATATAGAGTTTTTCCCCTTATTAAATAAAGACCCTGAGTTTGAAATGATTACCAAAAATTTGGCCAGTATTGGAAACAAAACACCGTCTATATTAATAGGAAAGTAGAAGTATAAAGTGTTACCACATCTGATAAACTAAGAACTGTGATTTATATATCATATGTGATTGTGGGATGCAAAATTGTCTCATTAGCTACTTATTGGCATCAAACTGTTCACTATAAATATATGATTTCTTTAGTAGAGCTTTTTATTTTTCTTCCAATTATTAAAAGAATAAAAGAACTTCATATTATTATTTTTTCTTTTTAAAACATAGTGGAAAGTCATGTTGTCATTAAAATGGTTATTAAGCATGCTTACTATTAGGGACTGAAAGAAGAGGAGGGAGGGGAAGCTATGTTGGAGATGTAAAGTAAATAAATAAATTAATAAAAATTTAAAATAACAAATACTGCTTACTATTAAATTAAAAATCAAATACATGCTGTTTCTTTTTTTGTACTAAACCTATAAAGGAAAAAAATAAACTTTTTAAAAATCAACATGGTAACTCTAGCCATCTTTAGTGAAATAAGTTATACTTAATTTTACTTCTTACTCATCCACATAGTTTCATCTAGACTTACTTTGTAATGAAAATGTAAAACAGTATAGTAATTATAAAAGCTAAAGTTGGTTCTATGAAATATAAGCGAATTGCTCTTCCCCATTTTTGCCAACTCATTGTGCAGTTTTCTGTGTTCTATCTTCCCTATCTTCCTAACAGAGAGCAAGCCAAACTGTGTCCTCACCAACTGCCATGAGTGATCATTCTAGATGATGTCAGTTTTGGCTTGGATGCTCCAGAGATCATCTTGGGTGAGCTAACAGTTTTCAACATAAAACATAAGTAAACATTTAAACATTTAAACATAAGTACAATTGTCTTCACAATAACTAAAGTTTGTAAGACACTGGATGAATACCAAAAGTAGAATGGAGGACAGGACAAAACTTGTTCTACTCACAGTGACTTTGTCCTTCGCCTGTTTAAATGCACTGGGGGCCGGAGCTGATTCACCACTTGCTGCTGTTGAAAAGGAACAAACAGTTAAGTCTCTAAAACCCACACAAATGTGTCTTCTAATATTGGAGCGTTCTACTATGTCCTGAGCCTGATGCAAAGTGCAATTCTCTTGCTTTTGAGGCTCAAATTCAATAGCCAAACAAACTTGGGTAACAGTAATGCATTATGTGGCTCCGACTAGCATGTGCAAATTAACACAGATCAGTGTCTACTCAAGTACAAGGGAGCACAGTGCACACCCTCATTTTCTATGGGTCACCAAGGTGCTCTTTACATACACATACAGTCTTCAGACCAAAAGTCGCAGAACATCAAAGCAAGTGCTGCCTGAATAAAGGAACGGGATATGATTTTCTTTTTCTTTTTTTTTCTTCTTTTTGGAGAGATCGGGGGGAAGGGGGTTGGAATGATACAGAAATGTCCAACCCTCTTTTTCTAGAAGCCACTGGCTTACCTACAGCTCCTTCATTTTACCTCCTAGGGTGTCATGATCAGCAAACCCTTTGCCTGTGCAACTCTTCGCTTTGCAGTATGATTGACACACTTGTCTGAGGTGAAATTGTACCGCAAGAAGGGAAGGAAAACAACTTCTCAGGGACAGAGAATGAGAGACTTCAAGCTCAGCAAGTACAAAATGTGTTCTAGGCATGCACTTCCTGTATGACACCGTTACCACATCTGTTACTGCTGTTGTTTGCTTCTGGTCTCTTTAAATTCCATCATTTCCAGCACATTCTGTGTGGATGACTTACCTGACTTGATTAAAAAAAAAATCTCACAATATAAGACAATCCTTTGTGTTTAAAAAAATCAGTATTTGACTAATATCCTCAGATATATCCTCAGAAGGAAAACCCTCTAGCCTGTATGTTTGCTTTCTCCTTAATTTTCTTTGGTAGAAAATCTTCATGAAAAAAAAAGTAGCCTTAAAAGCCATTTCTGAAAAAAAAAAAAAAAAAAAAAGATCCTATGCTATGTGAGCTCTTACATCGAGGCAATGCCTGCCTACAGTGTACTTTTTTATGTGCAGGACAGCTAGAAGGACTTTGCAGATAAGAGCATTGATTTTTTTTTTCAAGAGGCAGTGAAAATGTCATCCACTCCTTCTATGACACATCTGAAGTTCCTGCAACACATATATGTAGTTTGTTTTGATTCAAGAACATCTGCATTTTGTATACGTTTCCTGCTGGGTTCTCTTGACATTCAAGCAGAATAAGGGAAGACCCTAGTCAATCTGAAAACTTAAATTTCCTTTAAGAAGAAATATAAGGAGGGAGGGCTGGATTTCCGTATGGCGAAGTGAGTGCCAATGACATGGAGTCATGTCATACAAAAGATTAACAAACTATTTAATATTTCCTCTGAAATTCCACAACTCTATAGCCTCTTCGGCTTTCCAGGTAGGATACAGGATTTCTTAATATTCAGCTCAAGAGATTCTACTTCCCTAAGCATCTCTCCGAGTGAAATAAAACTTCTGACAACTTAACAGACTTAGTTAACTAATCAAAACACAAGATGCGGAGATGGTATGTTAACTCCTGACTTCTAACTTTGAAGTGCTCTGTATCGAGTCTTTCTCAAGATTTGTGTACAGAAGAGCCTTCCAAATTCAAATCCTGGCTTAGGTATTATTCTTGCATAAAAGGCACCATCTGGTTCCTATATGTAGAACACAAACACACACTACTTGGAACTTTGGCCAAGCATGGTGTTGCATGCTTGCAATTCAGACACTGGGAATGCTAAGACAGGAGGATCATGAACTCAAGGATGGCCTAAACTATCTACAAATACTTTGTCTCAAAAAACACAGAACTCAGAAATGCAAGCCCCCAATATAAAATCTAAACAAACAAAAATACTAGTGACTTTTGGTTCTAGAAGATCAATGATTCTGATCTTTTTCTCAGTAAGGTTCATGATGCCACTCCCAATCTTTAAAGTGACCCAAAACTTTATATTAAGCCATTTGTAATGCATAATCAAAAGGAGCATAGTTTTTCTTGATATTTCATAGAATAGAAGAATATCTATAGAAATACCAAGAAATTTTAAAATTAAGATAACTGTTCCATAATTAGGTGCACAAAGTAAATACTGCTATTCTACAGTGAAATTTCAAAATAAAATTGCATTGTAGAGAGGTGTATAGATTTTCACTACGATTGATTTAAAAAAAATATGTTATTGTATATGGTGTTTTGCCTGAATGTGAGTGTACAAGAAATGTGCAGTGCGCATAGAGCCCAGAAGATGGGACTGAATCCACTGTAACTGGAGTTATAAAGGTTGTGGATTGACATGTGGTTTCCGGGAACTAAACTCAGGTCCTCTGTAAGCACAATAGATGTTTATAACAATATATGTTTATAATGTTTATAAAGCCGTCACTAAAGCCCACTTTCTGATGATTTTTTCCATGTTTCATTCTTTTGATCTACCAGATTTTTAAGCTATGGGTGTGTAGTTTTGGGAGAATCAGAAGTAGGTGGGAATCAAAGCTGAAATGTCTCCCTCTCTCATATGTAGCCCAGGTCCCTCAGTGCGGCCCAGACTAGACTCACGCTGGAGATCTGCCCAGACACTCACCTGCCTTTGCCTCCCCAGGGCTGAAATTATAGAAAATTCATTTATTTCTAATTTAACTAACTCTGAGGGAGTGGAGTTTTAACTTAGAATCCTACACATTGTTAGAACATTTGACAGTTTGGATGAATATCTTAAAGAAAATTCCGAAGTTGAAGCACAGGAGACTGTAAAGGTGTTCATTTTGAACATGACGAATAAAATCTGATAGGATAGACATCACTTCCTTCCTTCCTTTCTTCTTTTTTTTTTTCCATCCTAAGAAAAATAATCTTGAAAATTAGTCTTACTCCAGGAGTTTTTTCATTTCCAATATCTAAGTCAGTATACATTGTCTCAGTAAAGTCAACATCAGTAACAGATTTGGCAGTAACAAGAGAGAAAATCGGACAAATATACATGGATTTAAGCATGGAGGAGATAAATAAGCAAAATAATGAGAATGCATACCACGGTTAAATTCATCGCCATCGTCTAACCAAACACACAGAATGAAAATAGGGATCCCCAGAACGTGACACTAGAGCACAATGCCAAGATACAATCACGCACTGTTATGTCTGAGCATGACAAAGAAACAGATGGTCATGACCTTTTCTGCAGGGAGGGAACAAAAAAAAAAAAGAATAATGATACGAGACACTTAATAGCGAAACTGTTCATGATTGCTGAGATTTGGAAGTAAAACAAAACGAAGAAGCTTCTACAGTAATGAGATTAAAAAAATACACAACCATGTTTGCCAGCCACATTGCAGAATTGAACAGTCACCTGTGGTTTTCCGCTTAACACAGGAGAGATGAGTTGGTCTAGTGTATTTGATAGCAGGTTTTAAAATGAATTTCCTGGAAGGAGAGTGGGCCTGAACTTCTGTTTTTTTAGCAAGTTCAGCCTTCTTATAAACTGCTATGAATAAGAAAACACAAAAAAAGCATACCATCAGGAAAGAAAGTGAACAATTGGAACAAAAATGAACAAGATTTTCATAAGTAACCAGTTAGGCAGTTGCTTTTTTTCAAAAGAGTAATAACAAATTAATTTAAAAAAAAAACGCATTTGAAAAGAAGTGATTGTTAAATGAACCTTTTTTCCTTCTCACTTCATCCCTGGAGACCGCGCTAGGTTCCTTTTTAGCTACTTTTCTTTCAGGAGTGGAAATTCTGCCTCTCCCGGTTCTAAAAGGTTTTTCTTTTCTATGTTTCTCGAGAGATGGTCTCCGAGCTTCCTTCTCAGCTTTCTCCTCTTTAGGAATAGTTTCTAACTGTTCTGTCATGATGCTTCTATCATCATCTGTGGATCAAAGCAAACCACGGCAACAAGAACAGTGAGAACATTAGTGACAGAGGCACAAAACCCTTCATATATTTAATACAACGTAAAGTAAATACAGACTTACTTCTTTTAAGGTTTAAAGTGAAAACCAAATTCCCCACTAGGCTACCAGTTTTTTGTTTGTTTAGGAGAAGATTGAAAAAGAAGCACACCTTGAGTGTCCACCCACAGGCTGTCGGCATCCATGATGGAGTCATCAATGGTGGTCTCGTCCTTGTAATCGTCATAGGTTTCTGTTTTGTATTCCGAGTATGCAACCTCTTCTTTCTCAGCTGGAGCATCTGGAGAGCCATCCTTGGGTTCTGCCTGGGCTTCTGCTGCCATCTCTACCTCAAGCTCTTCATCATGAGGGCATGGCCTCCTTTCTTCCTCAGGCTGAGCTAGAGCTGCAAAGCGCACACTATGGGACCCCGACTCCCCTTCATCAGTCGTGGTTTGCACTACAGTGATGAAATCATCCTCGATGGTCACCACAGACTCAATCACACCTTTGTGCTCACCTGGGCAGGTCTCCACCAATTCCTCCCTACTTCCCGGGACAACCAGGTCAGTCATCTGGAGGGTATCTGAACGGAAGAGCAGTTTGTCATATTCTCCTCTAGCTTCTATCTCTTCTTCCTCACTTGGGACTTCTGCTGGTTCAGACACAATTGCTTCAGGCTGTGGCTGGGTGACATCAGAAGGTATGGCAGGTATATCCGGAGTCTCTGTGCTCTCTTCCTTGGGCAGCTGAATACATTCCATTTGGACCTCAGCTTTCTCATCAGTGGATGAACCAGCCTCTGAAACAGGAGGCGGGCAAGGGATTTCCACAGACAGTTTTAGGGCAACTTCATCTTGAATGAGTGATGACTCTGGAGAGATTTCCTTCTTGCCCTCATCAGGCTTCAGAGACTCCATGGTGAGGCTTTCGTGCTCACCACTAGACTCGTAGGACTCTTCCTTGTCTACAGCCTCCTGATGCACCAAGTCGGGCTTTGCCACCTTCTCTTTGACTTCTGTTTCATTGACTTTGACACCTTCTTTCATGTGGCCAGACTCAACACCCATGAATGTATCTGCTTCTTGGGGTAAAGCCTCGAACTTAAGCTCTGTGGCTCTTCCAGCATCCACATTCATCCCCGATGCCATCTGTCCAAAGTCACTGACTTTTATATCTAACTGACTCTGCTCAGCTAGCTTTGCAGCAAAATCTAGACCTTGATCGGCTTTTGTGGTTTGCTCTACCTCAGCTACCTCTGGCACTGAACTGAGACCTTTTTCTGCTTTCTCAGGCGATGCATCTTTAGTTGTTGTTGCCAGTACATCGGTGGAGGCTTGCTCATAGGTTATACCTAATCCGAAGAGCTCTACTTTATCACTGGCCTCTTCTGTCTCCCTGGCATGTTCTTTTGAATCGACATGCTCTTCGCTCTTCTCTAGGACAGTATCCAGTTTGTCGCTAGGTTTCCTGTCATGGTCGAACTCCCTACTCAGTCCTGATTTGTCAGCAGATGTGGGTGAAGATGCCTCTTTCTTGGCAGCAATCTCTTCTTTGACCCTTCCAGCAGCTGCAAGTTTTACTTCAATCAGGGAAAGGTCTGTGGCCAAATCTCTACGGACCTTGTCATCGGTTCCTTCATAAAATGAACCACTCTCTCCTGACAGATTCTCACTGTCTTGAACTGGTGATGGGAGAGGGACTGTGTATTTATTGAACACACAGTATCCCATGTCTTCAAGCTGACTGTCAGGTTTTACAGTGACTTGGTTTTCATCAGTGACAGGTGGCAAACCTGTACTACTCTCAGCAACCACAGCCTCTGACGGGACTGATTTCCTCCTGGCGACCTCAGCCTCTGCACTCACAGAAGCTAATCTGGACCTGGTTCCTGCCAGATCTAGCATCTCAGGCAGATCAGGGGCCATGACAGTACCATTTTTATAATATTCTTTGGCTGGGAAGGGTGACTCAGAAGATGTTTCAACTTGAATGGTCTGCTCGCCAGTTGTTTTTGCTTCCTCCGTCTTCCCTTCTTCCTCTTTGCTCTCTGTTGAGAAGCAAGGGACTTTCTCTACTGCCGGTGTGGTGGGCGGCAGGTAATCATCTCCTTCATCCATGCTTCCGCTAGTGTTGGTTAGAATATCAGAAGCCAGAGGGGAGAGATCATGGCCACGGCCAAAGTTAAACCCAAGGGCAATGGAATCGAGGCAAGACATGGGCAAATTGATGGACATGCTTCTTTGTTCTATGGCAGACCTACCACCAAGCCCTAAACTTCGACTCAGTGTCAGATCATCCTTGTTCTTACTGTGAAGGCCTCTTTTCTCCCCATAAACTTTTGGGTCAATAGTGAACATTCTTTCTTGAGGAGAACTTGGTTCTTCAGGTAACTCAGGTGGATAATCAGATGGATAACCCTGGGCCAGAGTGCTGTACCCTGCTTCTTGTGCTGGAGCGCTCGGCTGGGATTCTTTGGCCGGAAGTTCCTTTTCATCGGGTTGATTCTTGGGAGATGCAGTGTCAAGTGATTCCTCGGTACTTCCTCTCGCATCACTCAGTTCATAGTAATCACTGCCCAACTGTTTGCTCTTTGTCACTTCTTCTTTCAGTGTAGATGTTTCAAAGTACTTGGACATCCCAGATTTATCTTCATAAAATGGCACATCAACCTCAGCTACTGTTGCAGATCCAACTCCTTCTAACTTATCTTTGATAGCTATGTTCTCCTCAAAAAGTCCCTGGATTTCTCTCTTTTCACTCACTGCCTCTGGCTCAGTTGGCACTTTTTCCAAGGTCTTGGAGGCCATGGCTAGATCTGTAACTGCTTGTTCCAGACTTACAGGGAAGGAGTCCTGTTTTAACTCTTCAGCTGCATGTCCTTGGACTTTCTGTTCTTCTTTGGAGATAGAATGCTCAGTGGAGATCTGAATTACATCTGTTTTATCATCCCTCAATTTTGGGGTTTCATGTTCTTTTGCCACAGCTTCTTCAATGGAAACAGTTGTTTTCTCTTCAAGCTTTGTCTGTGGTTCATTTTCAGTGAGCATTGGCTCCTGTACACTGGGTGTTGAAGTTTCTTTTTTCTCTTGATTTGTGATACTCTCTTCTTCCCCTGAAACATTGTCCCTGACATACCCTTCCAGAAATGGACTATGAACATCTTTGGGTAAAGTGGCAGCTTCTGAGACTGGAACATCTACCACCTTGTCTGCTCTATCTTTCTGTGGCTCCTCATCTCTGGAACTATCTTTGGCAGTAGCTAGACCAGTGGTGTCCTGCAGAGACGTTTTGTCATCTGGTTGGAAGAAGACAGGGGCAAAGGGTCTGGACACTTCTGCAACTCTCTCATTCTTCATAGTATCTAAGGGAAGAGTGAAACTTCCACTGTGAAAGGGACTTGGCATGGGCGAGTCAAACTGCTTCCCTTCCCATCTTGGGATATCCTCTAGTACATCTTTTTCCCTCATGGGTGTCAAGGGACCAGGAGATATTGGGGCAGCTAGACCCCACTCATCCTTCTTGGATTCCATCGGCATTTCGATGAACCAGTCTTTCTGACCTTTTGGCTCTGCAGAGAGGCCAATGCTAGGTACTGCTATGCTTGCTTCTGGGCTCTGTTTTATGTCTTCAAGGTTGGTACCAAAAGTCTGCGCAAATGGAATGGTAGGTGACTTTTCTCCTTCTGTGCCTTGGATATCCTTTTTGTCATGGGGAGTTTTAGTTGTCTCTGGCTGAGGAACTAAGGCAGTGTGTTCAAAGTCTTCACCAGGCTTGCTCTGCATCTTGAACTCCTTTTCATCCTTGTCTAAAGGCTCAGCGAAACAGGAAGGCATTTTCTGCTGCTCAGGGAATTCCATCTTCGAGGCTGTAAGTAAATCTGAAGTAATCGGGTTGATTTTTAAATAAGATAATAGGCAACAGCTTTCTGTCAGTTAGCTTAAAATCATACTTACAAACAGGAAATGAATGGCAGGAGGGAGAAGGAAGCTATGAACCATGCAAGCATGCTGCTCACTGAAAATGAGCATGGAGATGTCAGGACTGGAATCCTTATGTCCTAGTACTGGGTAAGGTCCTGTTCTAAGTGAACTGTGTACATGTAACAAGAAAAGCTTATTGGGTCTCTTCTAAACAGCATATGGTGCATAATTAGAAGGAAAAAGAAAAAAAAATTCTATTCATTCTATTGATAGAAGTTGAAATTAATCCATATCATGGAAGTAGATAAACAGGGTACAAGGACTTATATAAATAAGGATGGTTATTGAATAGTTCAGATTTTCTCACTTGAAAATAAACTGGCAGGCTGTGGGTCAGATGCCAAGAAATACATAATGATAAAAGCATTAGCAGTTTCACATAACTTGATGAAAAATTGCAAGGGCCCCTATGGGCAAACTACAAGTTACTGGCACAAAGTTTTAGAAGATAGCTGTGATTAAAGTATATATTTGCTGTCAATTTTATATACACGACCTAAGAATTGATGAGCCAGTTTATACTTAATCTAAACTTATTAATTCCCAGTCATGACTTCTGGATTATATAAACGGGAAGTCACAAGAGCAAGACATTTTTTTTTTCAAAAGAGTCAACTATTACAATATTTTTCTTCCAGAGTCCTGATTTCATTTCTTGGACATGGCCAGGTAGCAACATATTGGCTAGTATCGGCAACATATATACTTGACATCAAATAAATGGCATGGTCTTGCTGTCATTTATACGCCAACCCATGAGTCTCTGGAGTCCTTGTTATATTTTAAATTATTTCCTGTGGTCACCAGAGCTGGGTGTTGTTCTCTGGAGAGGATTTGACAGTGACTTTCTGGAAGATGGGTTATTATGAACTAGACTTGTGTGTCCTGTTATAGTGAGAGTAACAAAATATTTTAAACTTGTAATGAAGGCTAGATGAATGAAAACTCAAGCGATGCAGGCATGATAAAGAAGTTGGCTGCCCTGGAGAGACAAGGAGAAGAGAAGCATTGATGGGGCACCTGAAGGAAACCAAATCAGCATTTGTTGAAGCACGTAAAAAAACATAGCACTCTGCGGCTGCAAACAAAAGCGATCCTATCATTTAAGCCTGTATGTGCGAAAATCCAGCTCTAGGGTTTGAAAAAGAAAAGCATATGAATTGCTGTCGCAAAACACAAAAACAAAAAAAAAATATACATGTATTAGCAATGTGACTGGCAAACACTGGCGATGAGGAGGGAGGGGATAAACCAAGAAGAGTTCACACAGCATTATCAGCCCGAGGCAAAGCGTATTGTATCATGGCAAAGGACAACCAGCTACAGCGGGGACGACCAAGCTCTCACAGCACCTGCGCAAGCCACACTCTCTGCTCACGAAGCCTGAGATGGTGGTCTGATGATCATGAGAAGACCCAGCGGGATGCGCCAGCGTTGGAAAGGCATTCGCTTGGGGAAATCCACGGCAGCGCATTTGCAGCAAACATGCAAATCCTGACAGACACACACCTTCCTTGGCAGAGGAAGGAATTTTTACTTCTGGAGCCACTTCCGTGACCTCTTTTACACTTTTCTCATGCGGAGCCCCTGCCAGGGCACTGTCTTCTGGAACTATATGCTCCTCTGCACTAGATTCCACTCGGCCCCCACTGAGGCCCTGGGGGTGGGCTGAGGATTTAGCAGCCCCACACTCTTTGCCCGGAAGAGCGGCAGGTTTCATTTCCTCAGCCACCGCACCCTCTAGATTTTCTTCTTCTTGGGGATGAAAAAGATGTTGACATCATGACCACAGAACAACACACACAAGGACAGAAATATTATTCATGGAACACTTTCAGCTCCATTTCAATGACCTCTCCTCAGCGTCAGGTATATTTGCTTTTTCCATCTGCACGAGGGAATTAGTAACTGAATGAAAGGCACAGAGTGTACGTGGCTGGAGAATTAGGGTGTATAAAACAGGCTGATAGAAAGGCCTTTTAAAACTCCAGTTAAAAGGCTGCACGACACGCTTTAAAAATTGAGAGCTGAAAGGGTTTTATGGACTCATCAGCCTTAGTGGGGACAGCAGCGAAGATGAGCACGTGGGGATGGATGGCTTGCTGGGAATCGGAGATGGTGTTGCCCCAACAGATGGTGGTGAGGAGAGAGATGTGCTGCTGTGCTGAAAAAAGCCTTCCCATTGGTTAGACAGGTGGTGTTTTCTCCAACGTGGGAAGTCCCTACATAAGAGCTCCTGATGGCTTTGTTTAAAAATGTACAGTCTTTGCAAAAACAATTTTAGCCATGGAGTAGGCTTAGCCTCAAAGTGATACCTGCCCAGTTGCCTAACACTTTTGTCAAGAAGTCCATCAGAGCCCTCTAAATATAATACTTCTAAGAAAGGGCTAGAGAAGTCAATTCGTGTTGCCTCCATTGAATTACGCGATACTCAAGGAAAGGAAAAATTGGAAGTAAGATACTTTTTAACTTTAAAATTTCATCATTTACTAAAGTATTTTTATCATATATAGTTGTTTTGATGCTACTTGAAACAATAATAATTCACATATAGTTCTTTTTGACACCAAGGAAAAGTGTCCATATCAGCAATACAATCTTACTATGCAACTAAAAATTAAATCAGTAAGAAAAAATGACCAAGAGGCATTTAGGATGCCAAAAAATATCCCCCTAAAAGTATAAATGACATGAAAAAAATATTAGCCTTTAACTGAGAACAGCAAGCTTCCGAAGGGCATGAATTATTTTGTCCATTTGTTCCTCATTTACAATTTAAATGCCCATAAGTAAAAGTAAATCCATTTTACCCTTTAATAAATGAAAGGAAACTACATTAGCTATTTTAGAAGTCTGTAGTGGGAAGTTTCTTACGATATTGCCATAAAAAAAAAAATGGACATTGTGCAAAAGGCCCTGTGGGAAAGACTACAGATGGAAAAGAAAAGGAATTTTCTTTTTTTAAAAAAGAAATATTAACACCATGGATGATGGAAGAACTGCCTCATCTACATTTACCATACAGACAATTTTGTATCTGTAATTTAATTTTGTAAGTGATATTTCAGAAATTCCAATTCTTCCAAATTATTCAGGAATTTCTTTATAAGGCATAGATTTTTATTCTAGTTAAAAGAACTTTAAACAAATCTAACTTCACCAAAGCCAGCTTATTAATGAGGTCTAACCAAGTAAATTTACAGCTTCCAAATCCATGTGGCCTTAAATTACTTGACATAAAATACTTCTTAGCTTTGAGACTCTATTATTTACAAAGGCATTTCTTTCTCATGTACAGTTGTTCTCATACTACTCAAAACTGTAATAGTTCATGTATAGTTCTTTTAATTTAATGACTTAATATTTTGGCCTTAAATTTTTAAATTTTGAATTAGGCATGTTCATGTCAACTATACCGATCTCTTAATTGAAAACCTCCCATATATTTTTTATTAAACTTCATACTGTTGAAAGGACTTATTTTCATTTAATGATATTTATATTTCCAAGGGTGTCAGAGCTGTAGGAGCTCACTGGTTTTCGAAAGGACTCTGAGAGATCCTGTCACGAACGTGGCTGGTGAGCTGTGAGTTGATTCCTTGTTGCCTTGACATTGTCTGTCCTCCTGTCTTTATCATTACATATTGTCCCAAATGAAAACAAGCTCTTCTGTAACCAGTGGGTCACTGTCCTCACCTGAAAATATTTCTGTCTGAGCAGAAATACCTTAGCTATACTTTCTTCTTGATAAAAATCCCTAGTTAAAACGAGACAAGTTGCAGCCTGCCATCCACTTCACGTTGTCATTCTCAGGATAGTCACTTATACGTCGCTAGCTCGGCTTTATGGAACAGAGGTTCTGAGTCAAATCCTTCCTTTCAGCCCTAAACTGAGATACAGTCACCTAGGAAATCCCCACAGGTTCTGATTTATTGATGTGGAGACATAAATTCAACCCCTAAAATTTATTCTGCTCTAAGCAGGTTCTTTATTTTTTTCTGTTCTAAAGAACAAATGTATGAATATAGTAGTAAAAAGGTGATTTTTCATTTAATGTTGGCTCTAGTAATAGTCCAAGGAGGAGAGCATATAATATTAGGGTCGTCATCTTTAGTTTAGGTAAATAATATGTTCTTACCGAATAATTAATTTATTTGCAAGGAACAAAAAAAAAAAAAAGACATCATGCTTTAATTGAATTACTTCTTGTTCCTTTTTTCTTTTTCCCTTCTCATCTCATAGGAGAAAAAAATGTAAAAAAGAAAACAAGAGAAAGTACTTGTTTGTTTCACATTACGAATGTCTTTTATATAAATGTTGAGGCACTTCCGTGTATAACTCCTTATATAGGGACTTCACTTTCATGTGGACAAAACAGGCTTGTGCCCACCCCGCCCCCGCCCACGCGAAAGAACACTGAACATGACGCTGAATGTGGGCAGGGCTGCAGGGCTGGGGAGGAGGAGCAAAAGGGCACCATGCTCCCGTTCACCTTTCTCCCGGCCTAAGGGGGCCTCTGCACTCTGCGCTGTGACACTGGGGAGCACACTAGTCCATTCTGAGCTGAACAAAGGATGCTCATAGTACTCCTCATCCGAATTGTAAGGCTCATCATCAGGCACAGACACGGAGATGGAGGGGGCTAGGAGCCTACGCCTCTCCCCGCTGGTGGCAGGTTCATGGCTGGGGAACCTGTGTAGAGGACCCACTTGATCCTCAGCCCCTTCATCTACAAACAGACACATAGGAAGACACTGTAGGGAGAACTGGACAAGACAGACATGAGGTCAGACAGACAAGACAGACACCTACAGAAGGACACGGAGGTTCACCGAAGCAGCACAGCAGGATGGAAGGGGCTGAGACAGACGGAGCTGATGAGAATGGGAGGCAGTGACCATGCTTTGCTGGGTACTTAATTTAAACTATCACTTAGAAAATTTTGCCATTGAGATAAGAAAATAATAATAATAATAATAATAATAATAATAATAATAATAATAATAATAAAACATGGACACCTCTGCTGCAAAATAGAAATTATCTGCACATTCCTCTCCAGTAACTTAGAATAACCAAGGAAATACTGGAACAGAAACAAATGTCACGAAACAAATGTCACAAAACAAATGCATTCTTTGAAAGAACTTCCTTCCTGAAGGGGAATTCTAAGGCATACAACAATACAATTAGAAATTAAGAAAGAGAAACATTGTTGGGGTGCCATGTCTGCTCAACTATTGGGGGAAAACTGCTCAACTATTGGGGGAAAAAGGGCTCCTGTTGGAAACTTTGATTATCCAGTCATGTACAAACACTTGGCATTTTGGTTAATTTAAGTTTTAGTTAATTATTTCAACCAGAAAATAATACAGTTCCTGAAGTTCACATTGTAGATTAGTCAGCTTAGGAACATTTGGATTCTCTTACAAGTCAACAAGCTTTAGGAACTGTTTGGGTGAACCCCACTTGGCTTTTGATATAGATGCTGTCTCTCAGACTTATGTCCAGGTTACTCAGTATTCATTAGTCACTATTTCTTATATCTAGACCCAGTTAAACTTCCTCACCCTCAGCAACAGAAACCAAACCTGTAATATCTTCCTGTGTAGTATTAACCTTTCAGATTTTAAACATGCAGCATTATGACATTATTTTGCCAATGCACTGTATTTTAAGGACTGTAACTTTTTTTTTCAACAGACAAGTACTGGTAACTGAAATTTAGTTTGAAAGCATGAATATATTGAAATAACACTCTGTAGAGAGAATGTTTTTAATCCCTTCAGAATATTTGTTATTAATCAGCAAACTGGGTATTGATAGTTCTAGGGAAATTGTTTCTGGCTGGGTGCTGAGAAACTTCTCAGCCATGTTATTTACTATACCATGGGAAAGAACCCAAAATGACATTTGACATTCTTAGTAGCTGAGCAGATAGTTTTTCAGGATCTGCTCTGTGACAGGGTCTAAATGGTGGATCTGGGCTTCTGATGTGTCCTTGTCAATCACATGTTCATCAGGGCCTTTCAGAATTCCCGTGAATACAAATTAATCCTACAATGTCTAACTTGCTCAACCAATTGCATAGGCTGCCAAGTAAGTAAAAGTAAGGTGTGCATTTTTCTGCTTTTCAGCATTTGTTTTCTGGGAAGCAGAGAAGACCATGGTACAAATACAAACACTGAGAACTGAAGGCTGGTAGAGAAGAGGTGATGGATACTCAGTGACGTTTCAACTTTCGGAAGCATTCCGCCTCTGTTGTCATTATTGTTCTGTTTTAAGTGCCAAGACATAAGAAAACAGCTCAGAGATCTGTAACAATTCACAAGAAGCCTTATTTTTCTATCACAAACACATTTGTGCTAATCCCAGGGTGGCTGAAACACTCATGGGACCTTTAATGGCCCCAGTGGAAGACCATTTCGCCTTAGTCTCAGGTCTCGTCATTAAGGCAGTCTCAAATGTGATAGCTGTTTAGACCTCTCCTAGGACTGTGCCCTCTAAGAAATCCACGTGTATGCTCAGAACTTGTGAGCAAAGACCCTGTATGATGCAAGCTCTGGGGATAAGCCAGGTGTGTGGGGCATGGCTAAGTATGAAAAGTGCAGGGGTCTCTAAGAGGGAAGTCAGATGACATTAGAGTCTTTGTTACAGACATGAGATGTAGATGGCAGGTGCTTTTGGTTACCATGCACTAGGACAGATAAACAAACAAACAAACAAACAAACAAACAAACAAACAAACACATAAATGAATGAATAAGGAATAGAGTTTGTAGTTGAGAGAAGTTTTATAACAACCGACACAAGAATAGTAGCTTGTAACAAAACTCCTATCTGAAGGCAATTAATTTTCACAGTCCTGCAATAACAACTCGGCGGAAACAGCTCTAGGGAATTAGATGGAAGACTGAGGCTCAGATATAAATTAGAGCTAAGCCATTTATCCAGATGCAAACGATGATATCCCTGACAAAACATGAAAATCTCTGTCTCCCTGGGTTGCTGGAAGAAATAAGTGAGAATCTATTTGCGAGACTATCAAACACGATGTGTGACTTATACAAAACAGTCTACTACATTTTATTTATTTACCTATTGTGTGTGTGTGCGCATGTGCACCTGTGAGTGTGTGCAGGCATTTGCACAGGCGCAGTGGATACGGTGGTTTGTATGTGGAGTTTAGAGGACAACTTAGCTGTCTCCTTCCCCAGGTGGCCTTGGGGGTCATGCTCAGGTTTTCAGGCTCGGGGGCAAGTGCTGTTCACCAGATGAGCAGTCACACTGACCGTGAATGTGACTGCGAACATGTCTGCCTACTGTCTTCCCTCTACCCAGCTTCAAGTTCTCTTCTTCACCTTCATTTAACGTTTGAACTTGGAATTGAGCAACTTAGGGAAAATCTGAACTCACTGTATATTCTACTCTTAGATCTAAGGTAAAAGTTACGTGCATGAATCCATCCTTTATCATAAGAAAACATGCTTCGCCAACTCTGTTTTTGTCACAAAATGGTCTACCTCATTTGGCAATGTAACCTATAAAAGGATACTTTTATGGGATGACCTTGTGACCCTTGGCCTTGTCAACATAGCTCTTTTGCTATACGTTTTTTTTTGCTACCGTTTTCAGGAATGAAATTTAGCTGGTTTTTGACTGAGGAATAATTTCCTTCTAGTTTGCTTTTATTTAAACATTATATTAGCACATTTTATACTGGGTAAAAATAATACTTATTATTCTAAAATCAGCCCTGGTTAGTCAGACCATTCTGGAATGAATTCTTAGTTATGTTTATGAGAAACTAGGTCTCATGGGATATCAAGGACTAAAGACTACTGTGGCTTTGTGGTACACAGTAGAAGTCAGGTGACCCCCTGTGCACTGTCCTCCACCATCTCTAAACCTTTCTCTACTTCATAAGATTGTGACCAAAGCTTCCTCAGTTTCCTGATGGTAACTGCCGCCCCCAATTGATATAGTCTAGACATGTTATGGCTAGACCAAGGAGGGAGGACAGTTCGTGAGAAGACATTCTAATAGATTTAGCGTGTTCTCTGATTGCACTTAGAACACTTAGGGGAAGGCAATTTTTTTTTCCCATCCTAGAAAACTGACAACTGTAAATGTGCCACAGTTTCTCAGCTATTAAAAACAAGGAAATCATGAAATCTGCAGGCAAATGGATGGAACTAGAAAAGATTGTCTTGAGTGAGGTAACGCAGAAACAGAGAGACGCATGGTATACACTCACTTATATGTGGATATTAGACGCATATAATAGGATAGTCATACTAAAATCTACAGACCTAAAAGAGCTAAACACTAAGGAGGATCCTAGGGAGGATTCTCAAATCTCATTCAGAATGGCAAACAGGATAGACACCAGAAGTGGTGGAAGAAAGGAAACAGGATGGGAGCCTACTATAGAGGGTCTTCTGAAAGGATCCACCCAACAGGGGATCAAAGCTGAGACTCATGGCCAAACTTTGGGCAGGGCACAGGGAGTCTTATCGAAGAAGAGGGGTGTGGGGATAGAGGGACAGGGAGGGGACAGTAGTGCCACAAGGAGATCAACAAAGCTGAAAAAAAAAATCTGAGCCCAGGTGGTCCTGCAGAGACTGATGCACCAACCAAGGACCATGATGTAGCCTATGGCAGCTCAGTCTCCACGTGGGTTCCCTAGTAAAGGGAGCAGGGGCCGCCTCTGTCACTAACTCAGTTGCCTGCTTTTTGATCACTTGCCCCTGGTGATGCAGGCATCTTGCCAGGCCACAGAGGAAAAGGATCCAGGCAGTTCTGATGAGACTTAATAAACTATGGGCAGATGGCAGAGGAGAACTCTCCTTTTCAGTGGACTAGGGGAAGGGGATAAGAGGAAGAAGGAAGGAGGGTGGGACTGGGAGGAGTTGAGGGAAGAGGCTTCAATTGGGATATTATAATGAATAAATTAAAAAAATAAAATTAAAAATACACACACACACACGTACACACACATGAAAACTGAGAACTAAGATTGACATGAGCATGAGTCCATGTCTAATTTATTCATATTTTCACTGTGCATTGTGTTTCTAGAAGGAGTAGATCAGGTGAATCACCTGTATCGATGGGAGGAATCTATTTCCTTTTCTGCTACAACTCCAATTGAGTAAGGGGGAGTCAATTATAACTACCTCAGATTTCTGGAGTGGGCCAGATCTGTCAACATCATAGACCTTTCTGGGTTAGGAGGATTCTAAGGCACTCAGTGGTTTTAAGTAGGAGCTCAGAAACATTGTCAGTGACCTGATGAGAGGAGTACAATTGTCACACACAGCTTCTTACTTCATCCTGAATGAAATCTAGGCCCTTGGCCCAAGCTACTTACCACCCTCTCTCCATTTCCTTAATCCTTTCCCCCTTTCTCACTACCAGTGAGCCATGGTTCTCTGCCCTAGAACATGACGTCTTTTCATCTATCTGTATGCAATTGTACATCCTCTTTCCTCTGCCACCTTTCCCTGCTGATTTATTTTCTCTTATTTTGGAACTAGCCATACAGTAAGAGAAGGATTCCCTTGCTGTTCTTTCTGGAGGCTATCCTGTTGAAATATTTGTAAGTGTCTTCATTGCATTTCTGCTCACCATGCAGTTACCCCTTTGAAAGCAGGGAAAATGTATATCTGGTTCTCAAGCATTTGCTCAGAATCTGAAGTTTCCGGGACACTGTAGATGCTTAGTGAATATGGCCCAGATGACTGGATAAGCGTAAGTCCAAAACAAAACAAAACAAAACAAAACAAAAACCCAAACAACTTTCAGATATATGAATGATATTATAAATCACATTTAAAGGGATTAACAATAACCAATAGCTGTTATACACTAATTACAGTTGCTAAATCTTCTTTTTTTCTCATAGAATGATTTTGCTTAGTTAATGTTATTTCAGGTATCAGATTAGATTTCTCAATTAAGAAAAGTCTTGCTTTTAAAAAGAAAAGGTGTTGCTTAAAAATCTGTCATAAAAACAAATCAGAGTTAACAGTGTGCAGTTGAGTAATTGAGCTTTCTGTATTTAGGAAATACTGAAATGAATCAAATTATAAAATATAAAATGATAAATATTTAATGATGCTATTTATCCTTTGCATAGAAAATGATCAATGAAGTGACAACATATGGAAGAGAAAATGAAGGAGAAGATGAATAAAATGGTCTTTGCATATGAAAACAAGCCACTCTTGTTCCTCTGAGTTCAGCTAGCCTTTGTGTGTATTCTGAGTGTCAGGAGAAGGCTGTAGCACTGTGATCTAGTGCCTTTCATCTCACGTCCTGAATGAATGTTCTTCAAAGTGTCCCTCTGTTTTCTCAATGAGAACTAAAATGCTGACACGGTGTTCTGTGTGGAGCAAGTACATAAATGTATTCATGGATGGTAGTAGCTCTCAGCGGGGAGGCCGCCACGGTATCAGCTTCTAGTTCACTGCTCTCAGTGTCCATTCATTAGCTTCGTGGTTTATTCATTAATATTTGTGGAGAGTTTGCTATGGAGCAGGCTCTGGGGAAGGTCTTGGGAATACAACAGTGAGTGGAATCCATAAATTCTGACACATCCATGAGAAAGTACTGACTCCTACTGTCATGGAGAATATATGTTATTTCTTTTCATTCATAAGAGAATTGCATCGTGCCTGTCCAACATCTCTACATTACGTTAACTGCTTATAATTATCCCAGCAACTTGAACACAAAGTTTTCTTCACATAGTCAATCTTCCCATTTAAGGAATAGTCACCATATTCCTACTCTCTTGATTTTGCACAGAAAACTGATCCGTTTTTCAGTTATGGGGTTAATGTCTTCTTGATTATCTGAAACAGTACCAGTCCTGATCTACATTACCTGACACCCGCGTCCCTGGCTGAGGACTGGAGTTTATTAGTTATGGTTTTGAGAGAGGCCCAACCCTGCCAGGTCAAGACCTTACCTTCCTCCACTGCTGCTGTTTGTTCTGAGGCTGGCGATGGTGGTGGGGACGGTGGCAAATTAGCTGTTTCTTCTGCTGCTACAGGTCAAAAATGGAGACATGAGACACAACAATTAATTCTCTCATCCCAGTGGTACTCCAGTCTGCAAATAGGCACCCATGAAACATTATCTTTTACCTGACTTACATGTTGACAACTTAGAAGATAAACATGCCATTTATCTTTTTTATGGAGAAAATCACTTTCTCCATACAAACGAATTGTTTCTGTCACAAAGTTGTATTTGTAAAGTTAATTATGTATTTCATTTAGCTGTGAGATACCAGGTAAGCATTTTGGTTTGGATTAGAACTGTCTAATTAAAAATGAAACTCTTTGAATGGTCTGCTAGGTCTAGAAACAAATACTATCTTGATGATTGAAAGTCACATTATGTGACAGATATTTTTACCCCCAGTTTCAGTTGAAATCTCTTTTCTCTTTTACTGTCAGAAAGGAAAAGTGAAGTTGGTTCAGACTATGGTAACCATCAGACAAGCCCCACCCACCCAGTGGGAGCTGGGGAACCATCTGGAAGATTTTGGTATCACTGTGAATTAGTGTGGTGGGAAAGGCTCTGAACCCAGTTGATGTCCTCCTGGACACTTACCTTCCTTGTAGCCTTCCTATGCCGGGAAAGGACTTCAAAGGAAACAGTCCTCAATTAACGCAAGTGGCTGAATCTATTTTATAGATTATGTGACTTGAAATTCCATAATACAATGGTTAGCTTAGTAGAGATGGCTTGTGACAACAGTATTTAGTTCCTTGACTGTATGGGATTTGTGCCACATATTTTTATGAAAAAATTTTTGGTGTTTTTTTTTAAGACAGGGTTTCTCTGTGTAGCCTTGGTTATACTGGACTCACTTTGTAAACCAGGCTGGCCTCAAACTTACAGAGATCTGCCTGCCTCTGTCTCCCTGAGTGCTGGGATTACAGGCATGCACCAAAGATTTCAAATTTTAACACCTGATTTTTTTTTTTAAAGTAACAAGAACAGGAGTGAATGATAGATTAAAGGTTAATTTCTTTTGTTTCATTTCTTGTCATATTTATTCATTTTAAAAAAAATTTATTTTTAATTTATATATTTACTTTATATCCCAATTGTAGTCCCCTCCCCCTCCCAGTCCCACCCTCTCACCTTCTTCACCCTGTCCCCCGCTCCCTTTCTCAGAAAAGGAGAGTCCCCCCAATACCAATCAAACCCAGCACATCAAGTTGTATCAGGACTGAGCTCATCCTCATCCACTTAGACAGGGCAAGGCTGCCCCTTGAGAAAGAAGTGACCGAAAAGTAGGCAACAGCGTCCATGTCATAGACTGCACTTGCTCAACTTATTAGGGCACCCACATGAAGATAATACTGTAACTCACAGGCCCAAAGAAACTAAGTAACAAGGAAGGCTCAAGAGAGGCCCTCCTTGAATCTCACTCAGATGGGGAAATAGAAAAGATAGCAGAAGTGAATGAAGAAAAGGAACTGGGTAGGGGAGGGTAAGGAGAGGGAAATAAGGGAGGGTCAGATATGGGGAAAGTGGGGTGGGAAGGTGAGAGGGCTTGGAGAAAAAAGAGAAACTAATGGTGGGAGCATCTCTGAATGAAGGCTAATGTTTTAAATTGGGTATTTTGTTTTTCACCGTTTCTGCTCATGAGAAAGTCCTTGATAATCAAAACACTCCTGATGATACAATACTGACTGTATTCTAAACTCTTAATCATGGAAAGAAAAATATTCTTATTGTTTATTTTTAGTAAACATTTCAAGAACTCTTAATGAGGAAAACAAATATTAAGGCTATACTGAACTATAAAATAGGAAAAAAATTAGGATTTAGAAGCCGTACCTTTTGAAAAATTGGGCAGATGCACCTATGAAATAGATACACTAAATTCTGGAAAATATCCTCCCATTTATTTTCATGTATACAAATATATGTTTATCTATTTACTTCTCCACCTACCTATAATCTCACCATTCTCTATCTATAAGATTGTATACATATTGTATACATATTATATTGTATACATATCTATAATATTGTATATATACATATATATGTGTGTGTATGTATCAGTCTATCTACTCATCCAGGTATCTGTGTGTACCATTTAGCTATGTATCTATCAATCATCTATGAATCTATAACTTATTGTTGTATCTATGACCTATCACGTATGTATCTATGTGTTTATGTATTTACCTACACACCTATTTTCAAGTGCTGGATAATCTATCTTTCTGTGCAGGGCAGCAAGTCTCTGGATGAGTGCCCTCCTCTGTGATTATGTGTTACACACCACTGTGGCACAAAGGGCATTTGTGACCGTGGGAAGGAGCAAGGCTATTGAAGTGTCCTCAGATGAGCTATGTGGTCAATTCTCAGATCACGCATCAGTCTTTCCTGTGTGATTCAAGTCACTGATGACTCCGACAAAGTTCTAGCTACTGGTTTTGTGCAGGTGAACCCACAGGGAGAGACAGTCATTTCTAGCTGAAGTTTCGGTTCACTTTCTTTATGTGCATGGAGTCATAAAATCCCGATTTAATAAATAAAAGGGTCATCCTATTTAACAACAACCAATTACCCCAAAGCCTATCGGAACATCCCAGTGAACCCACTGAGGGGTCAAAACAGGTACGTCTTCTTCTGGTAGAGGTGACAGGTGAATGCCACATATATGAAATATGTACAAAGTAGAATATAATCTCTTGAACATGTAGACTTTATACTGGGGCAAGGCTGTGTTCACCCTGTGGTAGGCTCTTCCCGTTTACCTAAAGGCAGAGCTGCAGGCTTGTCCTTGTGTTGGGCTTCCTTCTCCTGTTCACCTTTCAGGACTGCCACAGCTTCAGCCGTGACGACTTGAACGATCCTTGCAGACACCTCCTCTGCAAATAAACAGTAACAAAAGAACATACAATGACCAGGGGTCCGACCAAGTAGCTTCAAGGATTGCTCAACAGTATTAAAAAAATAATTTTAGGCTGGGCACAGTGGCGCACACCTGTAATCCCGGCACTCAGGGAGACAGAGGTAGGCAGAGCTTTGTAAGTTCGAGGCCAGCTTGGTCTACAGAGTGAGTCCAGGACATCCAAGGCTACACAGAGAAACCCTGTCTTGAGAGAACCAAAAACTAAATAAATTTAAAAATAAATAAATAAATAATTTTAGGAGTAAGGAATTCACAAACACATTACTTGTTCAGTACAAGTCTAAAATTTAAAACTCCCCAGTTGAGAGCACTTCTAGGATTCTAGTGTTTTATGGGAAACTGGGAGCAAAGCAAAGGTAGGACAGACATTTTACAAATGCATAATTATTTCATATATTTTGGAAGAATTTGACATATTTTAGAACAGTATCATTTGAACTGGAGTCCTGAGTACTTGAGTGTTTGTTAACTTTCTACAGTCTAAAACTTTTAGAATATGAATTAAAGCTCTTTTATTGGGAAAATAATAATTGAAAAGGAGCCCAAGTATCATTAGTGAATGTGGTGAAATTATAACTGAATGTTACAGTACTTCAGTCTTTTGTGTAGGACTGCATGTTGGTTTCAAATGGGAATTATTTTAATTGTTTATTAACATAATAGGACTCCATTCATAAAGAATGTATTCATACAAAATAGCCAAAAACAATATTTTGGACATTATAAAGCAGCTTTAAGATAGTCTAAGAAGAGACAAGTGAGGAGAGAATTGAAGGCAGGTCCATTTGCCAGTGTAATCACCGTCACTATACACAAAACAAACTGTATCCTTATTATCATGTTTCATTGGTGAGAAGTAATTTAGTTTCAGCTTATTTTGGAAAATAAATTGTAGGAAACTTGAATTTTATTATTCTTGTTAGAGAAAAAGCTAACTTAGAAACATATTTTTGGTTTACAATTTAATATAAATTATGAATGAGGTAATTTGATTTTTGCACGTTTAAGCTTAATTGTCAGAAAGTAATTTTAACATGATCTTGGAAGGCTTGATAAACTTTCGTTTTCAAAAGAATTTATCAAGAGCCAGAGAAGCAGTTCTGTGATACTGCACTTCTCTTGCATGTGCAAGGTCGTGGGTTCCATTTCCAGCACCCATTTTTGATTAAAAAACACTCCTAAAAGAATACTCTGATAGTATCTAAGAAGTCAAGTTCATACTGGTTTAACTAATGTCTTCTAGTTGTTTGGAATAATAATATTAAGTCTTTTCAAGCAGAAGATAATATATCATCTATTCAAAATTTCACAGCGTGTTAGGGAATACATGACCATGAACAGGTGCTCTGGGAGTTTCGTTTGCTCCAGCGAACTTACAATCTTCCTTGAAGGAAGCAAACGAATTTATCAACAGGACAGCAATTGCTATTTTCCCTGCAGAGTAAGAGATGGCTTTTTATCCCCCTAGCAGAAATGCTATTAGAGATCTCCCGGGTGGACTTTGCATCCCCGCTGCCTGGCTCCTGGGACAGGAACTTATTTACCCAGAGCTTGGGTATGTTCAGGGAAGATGAGAAAGAATAAATGCACCAAAGCAACACAAAAGACAAAGTGTGGTGTTCATAAAGTCAGAATAATAAAAATATCATTGTGAAGACCATGATTCTTGTCTTATATGTATGCTTATTATCTTTATATATTTAATCATATATTATATGTTTCCCTCATGCTACATATATATCTATTGCTTCCATCCATTTATCAAGCCATCTGCCCACCTAGCCACTCACCTACCCACGCATCCATTATATTTTCACCTACTTAGGGGATTACTGTCCCTTAGGGTAAGTTATTAAGAAGTTACCACTATTTGACTGGTGTTCGATGTTAAACTTGTGATAGTCTTTATTTTATCATTAATGTCAACATGACAACAGCAGAGTTTCCACACTTAATGAAAGTAGCTTGGCTGTAAAGTCAGGTCAGAGCTAAGAAATGTTTGTAAGGAAATCTTGTAAAATATTAATAACCCAAGAAGTAGATCTGATTACAAACTATTTGGAAGGGAAACATTAAAAAAGTAGCTTCCCCGATTCTAATTCACCTCATAGCTTTTTTATTTTTTTATTTTATTTTATTTTTTACCAAGTTGTAATGTTGTTGATTACTGGATAGTGTGAGAATAAGTGACATACAGATAGCCTAAGGAACATTGAGATAAGTAACATACCACCACTTAGGAAAACATTTGAAATACCTCCGTGCTTGAATGCCTGGCTCTGGCTACCAGACAACACATCAGGCTTTTGACACTTACAAACTGTATCTAAACTAGGCTTGCACCGCTGTTCTACTTTAAAGCTCCATATTTAAAGCTCCAGCCCTTTGTTTCTCTCCAGCAGATTATTCACACTGCACCGTTGCTAGGATCTTTTTGTTCACAGTCTTCATCATAGCAAAATTTTAAAGGCAGGCCCAGGATCTGTGCTTAGCATATCTTTGTGCTTTGGTTACTCTGATATCAATAGAGTAAAACCCAGTTAGTTAATAAAATTAATGGAGTTGACCATCTCTCAACACCTCAAAATTCTAAGCTGCTTCTTGAGTGAAGATGTAACATTATTGGTTGCCCCAATAATTGTTGTTGAATGTGCAGCCTGTGGACTTGGAGCAGGACCAGCTGGGCCTCTTGAACATGCAATGGTTCACCAGTTAGACTGTCAACACAAAATGCAAGCAACTCAGCATATGCCCGGACACATATTTTTGTTGATTTCTTACAGCTTGTTAAAAGTGAACCAAGATGCATTGACAGTAAATTCAACCATATGGATATAAAATCCACTAAATGTTTCTGCTTTGAAGCATCGTGGGTATAATGGTGTGTTAAAAGAAATGACAAATAAGTCTACCGTACACTTGCTGAAAAAGGAAAACAAAACAATTTAAGACAGAATGCTCCTGTCAAGAAGGTTTTTCTCAGTGGGATACAAAATGGTTGCCTAGGAAACCAATGTTAATTGCTGCTGCTGCTGGAATCTAGTCAACAAGGAAAGCACTGTGTAGCTCCAAGTGCTCTGCTAAACAAACACCCTCCATAAATTCACAAAGAAGAGAGCAAGAAGGAAAATTCCTTGCTTCTTCCTGCTTAATTTGGAGAGTAAATGGCTACTCTGAACGTATTTCCTTGAATCAGCTGGCCATGAAAGCACTGAAGGAGCAGATTGTTGAAGGGTTTGGTTCGCCTGTTTCCCTCGCATCTTTGCTTTAATTAAGAAGGATTGCATTTTGCATCGGCATACCCCACCATACCTCATACTGGTGCCCATCATCACAACAGGCAACCTTGTGGCTACACATCTTTGCTCAGCAGCCATTTCTCTTGAAATGTTTCTTCTAAGATATGGTGATTGAAAAAAAACAAAGCTCCCTCTTATTTAAGGGGGCAAATGAATTGTAAGTAAAGTCAACTTATGAAGACAGAGGCATATAAGAAAAGAAATCACAGTTGTATGAAGTTCAGTCCTTTTCTTTTTCTTTTTTTCTCTCTTTCTCTCTTTTGAAGGGAGCCTATTTTGTGTCTGCTGCAGACAATGTAAGGATGCTAATCCATCCCCGGGAGATGGATTAACAAAGATGAAACATAGCACCCGTAAGCACAATTGTGTTTTGAATTGTTAACACATAGGGTCATCTTATGGAGGGATGTGTTTTGTTTTTCTTCTTCCTGATTTTTCTTTAGTGGCCACAGGTTTTTGACTGGTTCATCCATGGCCACGCATAAAAACTCTTGTTTAATATCCGTGTCCAAAAAATTAGGAATGATGATTATAGGAAGAGTTTCCCGTCTCTTAAAAAGCAGAATTATGTGCATTAAGAAAATGATATGTAGATGTGTATTTCTGTATATGGGTATGTGCAGGTGGTAGCAGGTGTTCTTGGTGGCCAGAGGTATTGGACCCCCCGGAGGGGGAGTCAGAGACAGTTGCAAGCCATCTGATTAGATGCTGGAAGTTGAACTCAGGTCTTCTGTAAGAACAGCACATATCACACTTTTAACCGCTGAGCCTTTGCTCTAACCCTCCCGACTCTCTCTATCTCAACCTATGTATTCAATCCCAGATCTGAGTATACCTTCGCATATTCAGACAAACTCTTTAGAGATTTAACTGGACTGGCCTGACTTTCAAGTTTGGTTAAGGAAAAAAAAGCGTAGCAAACCGAGATAAATGCCACTGAGAGGATACCACAACTCAAGGATGCTAATGTAGCAAGACAAAAGTAATTGTACAAGCACAGATCAGGATCAGCACCTACTGGAGAATTTTATTTCTAAATTTAGTGACCCAGATGGAAATAGAGGGAAAAGTATTTGCGCAAAAGACACAGTTAAGTGAATCTGATGCCAATCTAGGTTTATATACTTACATGTTCTAGTTTAAAATTTGCGGGCGCTGATTTCTAGTATTACCATACTTTTAAGCTTATGTTGCAACTTGTAGCCAATACATTAGAAATTTGATAAGTCAAGTATAATATTTCACTGATATAAATTAGTTGTATGAAGAATTTACTTCCTAAAACTTTCAAACAGGTTAAATCCCCCAAAATTAAATATCACCATTTTGGCATTGAGGGATCGATAATGCAAAATGAGGGATTTAAATGTTCTATGTTATACCTTCTTAAAGCTTTACTATTCTGGGCAGACTTCTGAAAACTTGCAGTGTCTTCTCTGCTAGGTATTAAAACATACTACACTGTAACATGATTACAGTATAGAACATTATTAGAAACATTAATGTGAAAATAAATGATTGAGAATGAGACTCTGAGAGATGAGAATCTGAATAAATCTACCCCTAAAAAGAACTGTGGAATAAAAACAAAACATATACATTTGTGTACATGCGCATTCCTGTCTGTATATGTCAGCACTTATTGATACAAGAGTTT